ATTTAAAGCCGAGGTGGAACCTTCAGATCAGTGCACTGGCTCACTGTGTGCCCGGACTCTCGCGCGCATGCTGTCACTATAGGGTAATTTTCACAAGTTCAACGTGGCCATGATTCTCTTCTAGACTGGGCCGTAATTTTAAGTCGATGGTACGTTATGTAGTTCGTATTGCAATTGACTTTCACCGTTAGGGTAACCTGCTCGTTCTGGAATTGAGAGGATTTACTACGTAGAGAGTGATTGACCGACTTCCGAGCCTAACAATTAATCCCGTGTGTAGCTTTCATGGGTGCATCGTTACATCACACCACTATCTTTTAGTGGTATTTTTAGCCAGTGAGCACCTCTACGGGTAATTCCTGTGTGGCTGAGGCTCTTGAGTGCATGCATGATCAGCTTACTGCATCTATAACCCCAATCATCAAGATGGACTAAATTTGCACGCTGGTAAAATTCCTTGGGAATAATCTGCGTTCAGCCTCTGGGTCTTGTGGATTGACTGTATTGATGACTCGCCAATTGACTAAAACTAAAATTGCTGATCATTTAAAATTACTGCACGGAGTGCCACCACCTAATCTGGTCAGTGAGATCGGAGACCATTCGAAATCCCTCGTATTAAGCTTAAAGCCAATGCAACGTTTTTTAAACAAAGCCAGATGGTACTAGGGATTTTCCTACCACTTGAAGGATCGTCGGCGGCAGCGATCGAGAAATGCGAAAAATTTAGTCTTATCATTATAACACGTAATTCTTCAGCCCAATACCTCAAAGAGTTTTCAGCAGGCATTAACAGAGGAATTATTTCCTATTTACAATGAAATGAGATAATTCGAACAAGGTAGCGCGAAGATTCGCGTATTAGAGTTATTGACAAAGTGGTTAATGGAGCAGAGATTTAAGTATTTTGACTGGCCTGCACATTTGCCCGATCTCCGATCTCAATCCCATCAAGCATATCTGGAAGCTTCTGAAGTCCAAAATAAGGAAGATGTTTCCTCATATAGAGCTTATAAAAAGAACAGATCATATCTCGCAGAATTGATCAGATGGATTAAGTTAGCGTGGGCAGCTAGTACAACTGAACTTATAATAAGCCATTAATATATTTGCTGCTGCTCATCACATTAACTTTAAACACATCCAGTGCGACACCTTCAGATGAATAAACTAAACATCGAAGGGTAGGGGACTCCCCGGATTTTCCAACAGTCATTGATCTACATTACAACACACAAGATACATCAGCAGCTAGCCATGTCTGAGGCAGCAACATAGCCAAAACTCATCCCAGGTCCAATGGTACCCCCAGATCCAGGATACCTGGCTCCTAATACAATGGCCGTGGTATGACCCGTCTCGTACAAAGTTTTGATCGGTTGACCTTGTTTATCCAGAACCCTCGTACGCTCATCAGTCATGAGACCGCCCTTGGTCCCAACATCGCCGGGGTACATCTCAACTGGGAGAAAGGCCCCTTCTCGATGGTGCCCAAGTTGGAATTCGGCCTATGGCTTGGATTACTAAAAACTTTGTTAAATAGATTGAGTGAGGGAATGAGCGGACGTAGACGCCCAAGATGGGCTTGCCATTGTCTATGAAGCATGGCATCCACCAAGCGTGCTTCATGAGGGCTATGTCTGCCCCAACACCCATAGCAGCCTTGATGGCATCACTTTGTCCTCCGGCGCGGCTAGACCCCATTCAGAATCTGTAGGCTTTCGCAGAAACTGATCCCGCAACTCTGGGTTCCTGGAGAATCCACTGGCCGCAAGTATAATTCCTCTTTTGGCTTGGACCCCTAATTTCTTCCCATCACGTTCAATGACGGCTCCGACCACGCCGCCAGTGGTAGTTGTATGGAGCTGATTCAATCCGGCGTTAGTCCAGACATGTGTACCAAGGCTTAAATCGAGTTGCAAGAGCCATGCAACCAACCCGACTCCAGCGCAAGAAGTTTCTTTCCAAAGATCATGACCCAGAGTGGTTGACTGGCTTGATATATCTCGTTGAGATATCATACTCTTGGACTATCAATCAATGGCCAGAGTGGCCTTAGCACTGCCAGCTGGACAACCTTGTGAAATTCCTCAACAGAGGTCCTAAATCGAAACAGAGATCGCGACTCCACGGCGCTCGTAACAGGCTGCCAGTCGACGGACGTGTGCAGACGGTTCCGCCATGCAGCTACATGACTACTTGCTGGCCATAAGGTTAAACTTTAGGCTACTAACACGGATGATTGGGACGAGATATTCCTTTTCACAATATCCGCCATGCAGTGTCCAGCGTTCTCAGGTCGAATTCGCTGGAGATGTGCTTCTGCATGTGACACTCGCCCCAGGCTCTAAGGCATTGTAGTCGGGATAGGGCAGGTCCAGATTCCATTCAAAGCCCTGTTAATAGAGAAACTTGGTCCATCTTGGGGCTATATTCAATCTATGCAGCTGCTTATACTCGCCGAAAAAAAAAATGTCCACCTGTTGCCTAGACAGGGTGGATGAAGGATGAAAAAGGTGATGGCTACTTTGAAAGCGGAAAAGACGTGACGTAGCATGAAAGCAACGATTATTGATCCTATTACAATGGGCAAGTTGGTGTTGAGACTATAGTGAAGGTAGAACCAAACAACCTTAACAAGCAAACGTTACTTAATTCCTTAAAAACTTTGAACGAGTATTGAGAAGCCACTGGCCCAACTGGTCCTGTCTCGAGCCTAAACTGATCGGACTATTAGGTACAGTTATGTATTTGAGTTGGCTTTTTGTTGGGTGGCCGACTTCATAGTCTCTTTCTATTGTGTAGGCTTGATAACAACCCTATTAGTAATCACACCGGCTGTATTTGATAATGGTAATGTCGCTAGACAGGTTATGATTACTGAACACATATTAAATCCTCCGTACCTAGTCCATCACCAAACTTTATTTCCTCACCACCGCGTGGCCATAGAGTTGTATCTCGCTCCATTTGAGTCATTGTTAAGGTCAGGGGATTCGGAACAGGCGGAACACTCAAAGCCTTATGTCTCTGCCGAGGCTTAATTAATCTCTACCTGGAGTGATCCATATATTTAATTGCAGCACACTGCTAGAAATTAGCTCTTCCACTTACAATATGTTCTCTCCGGCTACTTGAGACTCCAGCGCTACAGTCATGTCAGCCTCCCATCTGCCCAATTCTCACCCAGACGTTACTCCAACATGGAGACCTTTCAAATTCCCTAGAATCCCATTGCCTGACGCGATCGAAACGAGTCCAGTTGCAGACTCCGATGGACAGAGATATAGTGGCAGTGTCCCGCTGGACTGGTGCGGCAATAGTGCGTTATTTCGCCGTCCATGAATCCACAACACGTTAGTAATGTTGAACTTGTAGGCGGTCGTCGATTGGCAGCCCATGGTGGGTATTGCGCCACAGTCCTGATGATGACCGCGCGGCAATATTATCGCGACAAGCATGGGAGCCTGGAGAATATGGAACCCCTTAACATGTCCGTGGAGTTCCTCGAACCGCTACCCCAGGGTCGATTCGAAATTGCCCTTGAAACTCTGAGCAGAGGTAAACGCACTTCAACGATTGAAGCCAGGCTTAAATCGTTAGAGATCCATGAGCACAAGGTCTGCACAGTTGCTATAGTAAGGCTTGGTATATTGAAAGACGACGGTCACGTCAACAATATGCAACCTTCAGTCTGGCCATTACCAGATCGAACGAAGGATTGTACCCGATGGTCAGATGCCAGTTACTACTACATGAATCCCCCCGCGTCGACGATAAGGGTGTACACACCTAACGACGGTAACGCGCCACTGTGGAGCGAAAGATTCGGAGGCCAGAATACCAGATATCAGTGGGTGAAATTGGATGATGGTAGAGAGTTCCGATTCGAGCACTTGCCTGTACTGGCGGACCTGGTAACTACTGCATGTCGACTGTGTTGTGACCAAAGCTAACATATCTCACACTTTAGGTTCCCCCCATCTTCCTCAATTATGCTGAGAATGGGATGGAAGCCGCCAGCAGTTGGGGTTTACCCACCACCACTCTGAATATTATGTTCCGGTGTGAAATTACTCCACAGGACTGGCTCCTCACTCGAACCACAATGAAGAGAATACATGGTGGGAGGTTTGATATGAACATTGAGATTCTCAATGAACACGGACAACTTCTTGCTTCCTGCGTGCAGCTTTGTTCAGTGATACCTATTGGAAAGTCTACTTCCAAGACTGCAGGAAAGCTCTAAGTAACCTGCGGAGGAAAGAAGTAAAATGAGCAAATATGTAAATAACGGGCCATAACTATTAAACTACGAATTACAACAGAAATATGATATGAACCCTCACTGGTGATTAAAGTCAATGACAGCGTCAAGTGGACGTGACTGACAACCGGCACAGGCTGACAAATATCTGAAGCCGACAAACGATCGAGGATCGTAAATAACATGCTGACGCCAATCTCGTCATGCTTCTGGCTTATGTTATGTTATGTATACTTTTAGTCCGGGGGGCAAGGTAAGGCGCGCGATGCAAGTATTAGCTGTCAGGTCTATCAACTCAAAATAACACTCTCAAAAACACTCTTCAGGCAGCATACCAACTACCGACACAATAGCCCAAGATAAGCTTTTCAGCTTATTATGTGGGATGCAAGTAAGAAAGCGAGACGGTTACGCTACATTCTGAGGGAGTACTGATTACTAAAGTTGGGCCGAAGCTGAATAATTGCCTCCCGAGAACATCCTCAGTGTAGTACCAAAGTATCGACCGAAGGGTGGCTCGTATTACATAAGAGATTGAGAATTTTTGATGATGATAGTATCGCAATGGCATCGAGACGATTAAGATGGGCGGAGTGCATGTAGCTTCACGACAACAAGACCGCGCTGGTGCTGGTCATGCTAAGAATGCGTGTAAATGCTCTAATTACACGTATTTAATTTCATCAAGGTAAAATATACTATAGATGCTCTAAATTGCAACGCCTTCGCGATTCTATCCTGCGCAGTAGGGACTCTTCCTTCGAATCCACTCCCCATAACGCCAAAGCACAATTGGCGCGACAAGACAAATCAACATAGCTGTACCCGCAAGCAGACCATTTCCCCATGCAATTCCAAGACGTTTATACATAGCAGGCGCAAACAAAGGAAAGCTAAAGCCAGCCATGGTACGAACAAAAGCAGCTGCTCCAGTCGCGCTGGCAGCATATCGCTCATACGAGTCAATGATGTACGTTTGAGCACATTGGAACGACAGAATGAGCCCCGCAGAGAAAATTGCTGTCCCGACATTTGGGATGATCCAGTGGAGTTTCAGGTGTGCGGAGACCCCGTAAAGAACGAGACCCGCTGGCGTCACAAGCGCAGTTGGGAACATCAGGGGTACGCGAAATTCGGGTCGCCCAGGATGGTTATGCCGAGTCTTGAGCATTGCATAAACCTTGCAGTCTTAGTATAATATCAGGGTAACAGAAGAGGTCAAATACCTTATCAATCAAGGGACCAGAAACCTGAAGCCCGATGACAAATCCAATACCAAGAGAAACGTAGTTTAAACTCGCACGACCCGGTTCCTGGTTGTATTGTTGTTCCCAAACCATGGGAAAAGAAGCAAAACTTGCGACATGTCAGCTGCTGGTACCATATTTGGTATCAACCTTTACACTCACACAAGATACATGAGGCCATATAAATACGCTCTGTATAATGCCGTAATCTGAATAGCGGGCTGCGTAAACAGCATTTTGAATGGCCTCTTCAAGTTGGTCAAAAGTAAAGAAATGAATGATCGATCTCTCTGCTCGAACTCAGTATGAAGAAGCCTGTTGCCAGTTATCTTGCGGAGCTTTCTGGCCTTGACCTTGAGAATCTTGGGCGGGTAAGTCTCTTGCAAAAACAGGAACGCCAGGATCTGAACCACAGCATCGGCTATGGAGACTACCCAAAAGATCCAGCGCCAGTTCAGATGTTGGGTGAGGTAACCAGCAGCTTGAGGGTTGTTAGTATGAAGCCATTGTTGAGAGTTGAGATGCTTTACCTATGGGCCCAACAGCAGGTCCCAAGAATGGGGCAAGGCTGTAGATGGCGGTCGCAGTTCCTCGTTCCTCTTTTCTCCAACAGTCGCTCAGCACGCCGCCTCCAAGCTAAATTCAACTGGTTAGTAGAAGTCAATTTCGAGTAAATACTGGTGATCATACCGCCTGAGGTGCACTCCCACCAAGACCACTCAAGAAGCGAAAGACGAGCATCTGATCCTTGGTCTTCGAGAACCCACAAACAGTATTGAAGATTAGATAAAACATATTTGCAGACTGAAGAACAACAACTCTTCCAAACATCTCTGATAAGGGGGCGAGCAAAAATGGGCCAATTGCATAAGCCAAGAGAAAGATAGACATGAGAAGGTATGTCTCAAAGTCAGATGAGATCTTGAACTCTTTGGCCAAGTCTGGCAAGGCCGGTGCCAGCATGGTTGAAGAAACGGGGGAGATGAATGTGAAACAGGAGACAAGGATTGTCGAGAGCCATTTCTTGCGTTTGGTCCAGTTGTGTGGATTGGAGGGGTCATGGGAACCATCCCAGGTTACCTGACCATGTGTCAATGAATATGGTGGCTAAAAGGGCAGAGTTCGGCAAAATGATGGAGGCCGACTTACCAGGTTTGGGTCCTCATCTTGAGATAAGAGAAGAGGTTCTGGGACTGACTGATTCTCTAAATCTTCAGACGTCTTTGTGGATTGGTCTGACTGGCTCACGACATCGGGGTCTTCGGCAAGAGATGATAGTGGCCTTGGACGACTCGCAGGGCTCGAGTCATAAACTCCGTCTTGACCATGGTCACGTATTAACCAAGGATAATTTTCACGCGACTTCTCGTAGTTGGCCAAGTCTTCGAGCATGGGACTCCAGGACCTCCAAAGAGAGGAACGAGAGCCAGCTCTTGAGAGCGCTGGAGTATTGCTTTTGCTCATGGCTTGGGGACAATAGCGAATGGGCTGATCGACAACGAACGAATGACTTCAAGGTAAAGTGTAGAGTACAATGAGGAATGATAAAACGAGGGAATAAGTAAGCGAATGGACTGTGATGTGTTGTTACCTCTCACAGAAGGGCTGAGATGCTCAAATATATCTTCACATTTTAAGTGTATCCTACCACGACGAGAAGGCTGTATCTTGGTCATGCTTGGTATCCAACACTAAGGTGTCTAAAGATAAAGGCGCAGCCTGCATAAGTAAAAAAGAACAACTCGCGCCAAACCACGCCATTCCACATGGGAAAGACTGTCACGACTACACAGCCTGAATGCGTCACTGATGAGGCTATTGTCCAAGACGCTCTGCTGGTAGACGTCTTTCCAGAATTGCTCCTATCGCTTGAGTGATTACGGTGAGTGACATTGGTTTCAGTTGTAAATTGTCCATAGTCGTCATTAGGGTGGCTTAGAAGTTTCGTTTCAACTTAGCTTGGTTGGGTTGGGGCCATTTCATTTGCTGAAGCAGCATCGCCAAGACCCGAAGGCGGAAATCGCATCGCGCATCATCACGCCACAAGATTCGGAATATTCTGACATACCGAGTTGATTGCTCTTGGGCCCCGAGTCTTCCGAAAAGACCTGAGCCTGAATTGCAATTTGTGCGCGGGTTCAAGGCGACAGTTTCTGCAATATAGACTTCTCGCTTGTATTCTAGGGCTCACAAATCATGTCGTTGAAGCAATTTGTGCGAGCTAATGTGGGGAAAACAAGGTTCTATGGCCAAGATATCGATAGGGCTTCCTGTAGCCGAGGATCTGTTTCGGTGTTTTTGCTATAAATATGCCCTCTGGGATGCTCGTGGCTCTCGTTGATTGGCAGAAGCAGTGATTCGCAGAAGTTAGATAAGAGCCAAGCAATGACGGCGCTGTTAGCACGCAACCTTGATGACGTTCAAGTCAGCATTGCCCAGTCAAGCCACGAGGAGTCGCACGAAACATTGAATTAAGCTTAAATTTTATCCCTGTCACAGCTTTCATTGTTCTCCGCACCCCGACATGTCAATGTACGTTAGCGACTTACCCACTAATGATCTTCTCAGCCCTGCGATGAGCAGATGAATGACGCGTCCCTTATCTGGACTCACCTGATTGATGTCTGAGGCAAATCTCCTTCTCAATTCATTCTATTTATGACCGGTGGCTTGGTGATCGCGTGACGCAAGCGCATTCCAGAAAGCAGATTTTGAGCTAACATTCGTTTCAAGACAAAGTGGCAGACGACCTGTTGCTATTCTGGGGCATGCCTCTTCTGTGATACAGGCTAGCGTATCTTTCTTGTCGAGGCTGAGTGAGAAGATGGAATCATTCACTGTGTTGAAACTGCGGTGGATGAGCACAAAGAAAACCCGAAGCATGTCATAAGTAAAGAAGCAACACATTATATAATGAGGCTACATCCAGATGAAGGAACAAGTGATTCAGAACACTCAACAAGCTCATCTTTACATTCGCTTTAAATAGTACAAGCTGGAAATCTTACATTCGCTACAACAAGCCTATCGTTCATACACCATTGACCCATCTTCTTTACAACTTTACGACACCATACCCAAATCCTTTGACACGTACAAGATGACAATGGGCTCCACTGTCGCTACACCAAGTATGAAAATCCTTGTATGTCCATCTGGCTTCAAGGGTAGTCTCCAGCCAAGCCAGGCTGCAGACTGTATTGAAGCTGGCATCCTCGCCGTCGAACCTAATGCCTCGGTCCGGAAGGTCCCGTTGGTTGATGGCGGAGAGGGCTTCACCCAGGCTATTGTTACTGCAACAGGAGGTTCATTGCACCGAGTCCCTGTAGTTGGGCCTGTGGGAGAGAAGGTTATGTCATTCTTCGGATTGCTTGGTCACAAGGATGATGAGCCACTCACTGCCGTCCTTGAGATGGCCGCTGCCGCTGGTCTCAGCTTAGTCCCACCCAATCGGCGCAATCCAGGCAAGACAACAACCTTTGGCGTTGGAGAGCTCATCCTTGCTGCGCTTGATGCTGGGGCTACCCGCATTCTGGTTGGATGTGGTGACTCTGGAACGTGTGATGGTGGTGCAGGAATGCTTCAAGCTCTTGGGGCGAGGCTGTTTGACGCTGAGGGGCGTATCTTACCTGTCGCCCGTGGCGGCGAGTCACTATTGGACCTTGGATCTATTAACCTTTCTAAGGTTGACAGTCGTGTCTTCAAAGCCAAGATTGACGTTGCTGTAAATTGGCACAACGTCCTTTGCGGACCAGACGGAGTAGCAAATGTCTTTGGTCCCCAGAAAGGATCGACCCCAGAGCAGGCCGCTCGACTTAGCCTTGCCATGGAAAAGTTGGCAGAAGTTGCTACAGGCATTCTCTGCGACAAGACAGTGCGACTGGCTCCTGGAGGTGGTGCTTCAGGAGGTCTTGGAACAGGTTTGCGCCTGGTTGGAGCTACTCTTAGGCCCAGATATGAGGTCATCATGCAGTACATCAACTTGCACAGTATATTTGATGACTGCGATCTTGTACTAACTGCCGAAGGTGGCATTGATGATCAAACACCCAGGGGTAAGATCCCCGCAGAAGTGGCCAGACTTGCAAAGAAACATGGACTTCCTGTGATTGCCATCGCTGGTACGATTGGGCAAGGAGCCAGAGTGAACTACGATATTGGGATTGATGCTTTCACATGTATCATCCAGCGACCAATGAGTCTGGATGATGCGGTTATGGAAGCGGAGAAATTAACCCGGGAGAGTGCCGAGACTGTCATGAGAATTGTTGTGGTTGGAAGGATGCTGGGTAAATCCCTTGCATGAGACACGTGTTATATGAGAAATTGTGATCTAAATGTGCTATTTGTAGTTGAGACCTGTGGCTGAGAGCTTATAATCACGACACAGAACTTAGTAATGATATCTAGCGATCCTGAGTTAGTTTGAGTCAGCTTTGCAGGAATTGACCTTAGTGGTCAAGATGAATATTTGGCTACTCTCTTACCACATGTTATCTTTGCAAGATATGTAAAAACTCAAAATAGAGAGTTTTCTTATTTCGTTATTTCAGTGCACCAAGTTGTTTCACAGCCAAGCATTTGTTAATACTGCAAAAGAGGTGATGTACATAATACTAAGATTATAAGAAACAAAGTGACATTCTTTTGCCAAATTTACAAGAAGTCTATAAGAGGAAATTTAAGTTCTAACAGTTAAAAGAGTATTACTATTGCCTAAGTTCTGTATAGTAATTATAAGCTCTTAGCCACAGGTCTTAACTGCAAATAATATATCTAGCTTACTATTTAGATATTATACTATAATGCCTAACTAATTACTATAATATAAATATTAATAAAAAGAAAACCTAGAATATAACTCTTTTACCTAACTTTAAAGGATATAAAAAGCTTTAATATATTTATTAAGATAATTTAATTTAATATAAAAACTAAAGATTTTATTAAATAATAGAGAAATAAGATAATAATATATATATTAAAAAAAAAGTGTATTTATATAAACTACTTTAATTAATTCTAAGATTAATATATTAATTAACTACCTTTTAATTTAAAAGATATTAAAAGATATAAAATAACTTTTTATTATAAAGCTAGCTTTAATACTTTTAAAGCTATAAGTTCTTAAATAACCTTTTTTTTTAATATTTAAGAATATAAAAGGCTTTCTAGCTATTTTATTTTTTAATAGCTATTTTAAATACTTATATTTTTACTTATATTATTAAAGACATTTTTAAAAAGGTTAATTAAGTTATTAAGTAAGAAAGAACTACCTTAAAAGCCCTCTTAAAAAATAACTAAGAAATAAAAAAGTAATTTAAATTTATTAAAAAAAGAAATTAAGCTTAAATTATATCCTTAATTAATATATAAATAGAGACTTATAAAGAATAATTAATATAAAGATTATAAAAAAAACTTTAATAAAGTAATATTATAAGTTAATTAAAAATTATATAAATAATATATTTTTAGCTTTTAATAAAATAAGGTATAAAGATATTAGATTTATTAAGATATACTAATATATAAGAAATAGTTAATTAAAGGTTTTAAAATAATATATATATATTAGTATTATATAGGCTATAAAGGAGAGTTAGACTAAAAGAAGGTTTAGGGTAATTAGAAGGTCATAGCAGTATTAAGTTTATGAGTCAATTATAAGGTTAGCAAATACACTTCTGGTTTAATATAATGGATTACTATTGCCTCTTTCTAGTTATAAATATGTGCGTCCCTCCAAAGTATCTCTCGTCTTTCCTTTTCCTCATCAACAAACAATCACACTCCCACTCCCACACACATACCCATCTCACTCATCTTATACAAAAGCTACATCCGCCAAAATGTGCGGTGGAGAAGACCCAGAAGAGCCAAAGACCTCAAAGTCGGCAAGGAGGTCTTGTAAGACTGTTAGGAAGGGTGCCTCTGCTGCCAAGAGGAGTATCGTTGCTTCCAAGCAAAGGGCCTCTACTAGGCGGACTCTCCCGCAGCTGGAACAGGCCATCAAAGTGTCCAGGACGGCTACGGCGATGCAACCGATCGATCCGGCCGACAGAGTGAATGACTGGACCCAAGAAAGTGAAGACAGGGCTTTCACTCGTTCGTTTTACGGGTCAAGCAATGACTTCCGAAAAGGAAAGTCCAGGCAAACAAGCAGCATTGGCAGTGACATGAGCAGGCGTGGCCACAATGGCTCAGACGAGTCCTGGAGATCCTGGTGGTAAAATTAGTATGAAAGCTTTCATAATAAATTATAACTTGAAGACGCTAACACTTTTAGTCGGGGTTAAACGTTGCCTCGCCACACCGAGGAGATGCCAGTCCTTTCTGGTTTGAGACTTGAGGCAGGGTTCTGACTTGGCAAGTTGGGATACAAGATGAAGTGATGTAAATCAAGTGTCCTATTGCCCGGGGGATATTCAAATTGGAAAGGGTTATTTTGTTCAGCGACGTCTGTTTGAGGGTAGGGTTTGGAGTGGAAATTCGCGGTTTAACAAAAAGAACTCTTTGAGATCCTCCTTGGTCAAAGATGCTATAGACATTTGGCATTCAATTAAACCTTTTCTCTTCGATTTTAAGTCTCATTTATACCATATACTTTGTGGTCCAAGTTTCTTACTTGATGCATAAACCTTCTCGCCACTGGGAAACACAACGAGTGCGTCTGGAGCCTGAATTACAGTAGCTTCCACTCGCAGCGGTTCTATAAGCATGCCTTCCTTCCACTCGAGAGAAACAAGCCATCCTCCCATAGCTCTGACATGTGCTACCTTCCCAGCTCCCCAAGACGGCGGTAAGCTCGGAAGTAGATGTATGACGACGACTTGCTTTGAAGGCTCGGATCTCAGGGTAGATTGGACGAGACACTCCAAGATCCCAGCACATCCACCAAAGTTGCCGTCTATCTGAAATGGAGGATGATTGTCCAGCATGTTTGGTAATGTTGACGTTTTCAACAATAAATCCATGTGCTTTTCGCAACCCTCGGAGTCTCGAAGACGTGCGTGGAGGTTCAGTAGCCACGCCCTACTCCAGCCTGTATGACCTCCTCCGTGCTCTGCTCTTCTCGCAAGAACTTTCTTCGCAGCCTTGATCAGGAGCGGCGACGAGTCCATACTGATAGAGTCATCGGGGTATAGTCCCAAGAGATGTGATACGTGGCGATGTCCGGGTTCAGCTTCTTTGTGATTCCTCAATCCCCATTCCTGTATGAGTCCATCTTTATTAAGTGACATGGGAGGAAGCTTATCGAGCGCTGCGATGACATCGTTCCTTCGCGGGTGATCTGGGTCGAGGATACTGATGCTCCAGAGAAAGCTCTCGAAAGCAATGCGCACGATTGTCATATCGATCACAGACCCTTCACAGAAAATGCCTGTCTCTCCTGACTGAGATACAAAGCTGTTTTCAGGAGATAAGGATGGGTTGGTAACCAAGTATCTGCCGCAAGCAGATGGAATGAGAAAGTCAAGAAGGAACTGAACACAGCCTTCGAGGACAGGAGCAATACGGCAATGAAGTGTGGGTTCGTACTGATATATGAGCATTCTGACAACATCCGTACACAGCCAGGCTCCTCCAAGCGGCCAGATAGTAGCAGGCATCCACCGATCTTGAGGGTCAGTATCAGCCCATATGTCCGTGTTATGATGAGCGCACCATCCTTTGCAGTTGTACATCATCTTGGCTGTCCTTTTGCCTCTTTCAGCCATGCGTTCGAGGAGCTTGATGAGTGGTATAGCACATTCGATGAGACTGCAAGGAATAGCTGGCCAGTAGTTCATTTGGAGGTTGATGTTGATGGTGAACTTGGATCCCCAGGGTGGTGAAAAAGAAGGATTCCATATCCCCTGTAGTGTTGCTGGCAGAGCCTTCTCCGAGTTTCGACTTGAGGAGATGAGCAGGTATCGTCCGTAGTTGTGATACAAAGCCACCAAGCCTGCATCTCTGCTGCTGACGATTCTCTTGTTCGTCGTTAGATGGTTCGCGTCAGGGAATAACCGAAGGGACATTCGGCCGAAGAGGTTGGTGTAATCGGATCGATGGCGGCGGACGAGAACTTCCCATGGCCTCCGAAGAGCATCATCAACATTTAAAAGAGCCGATCTTTCGGGGTCCTCTTTTCTGAACGTCGTATGCGCGCCGATGGCGATAACACATTTGGCCGCATCCACAACCAGACAATTTCCAACTGCCTTGACAATCCCATCACCAGGTTCGCAGGAAATTCCAAGAACGAGAGACAGGCGATTACTGTTTGCACCACCTGGCGTAGCGTTGAGAATAATCCGTGCGTCTTGCGCGAAGATGCTGTCGAGGTACTCGTTGGTCTCTCCCTCATTCTCGCTCTGTCGATTCAACCGTATAACGAAACGGCTCTTTTCGGATGCTTGGACTTGGATGGCAAGTACACTATCCGGATAGCTGGCAATTACATCACGACGATAAGAAATACCACCGCATTTGTAACGAGTTGTGACTTGGGAAGCATCCAAGTCGAGGTATCTTGTGTAATCGGTCACCTCACTCTCCTCATGATTAAACTCAATCTTGCATTGACCCAGTGGCTCGTAGTGTCTCATGCTCGATGGCGTAGCAAAGAAGGCCTCCTTCACAAGATCTTCTGCATCCTTGTGCTTCTCATCTCTGATCAGTTGTCTGAGAGTAGCTAAATGACTGTGCGCATCTCGGGGTGTTCTGTCCTGCGGGCCGCCATACCAAACAGAGTCCTCGTTGAGTTGGAGCAGCTCGGTCGACGTTCGCCCGTAGACCATAGCTCCTAGCCGCCCGTTACCAATGGGAAGAGCCTCAGACCATGAAGATGCGGGGGCGGCATAATGCAAGAGCATGCCTTTGTCTGTGTCACTTGACTCGCTCTCGTCCATGGTGGATGACTGGATATGCGTGCCGTTTTGCCGTGATGGATTCATGGCGCTTGATGGTGGAAAAGACGCATGAAACGATGATGCTGGGCTAATTGATGAGGGGAAGTTGATGAATCTCTTATGTTTTGTTTGCCGAACAGGGCCGACTGATGATGGATTAGACCCGAAGAGGATGGTCAACCCCACAAACCTCATGCGCACGGATGAACGGCCCATGGGGTAACAACTGGCTCGGCGTCGCTATTGGAGGAATTATTATTTAAGTTGACGATGTACCCACATGCCCCAGAGTTGAGAGTGGTTTAAAAACTGGAGTTATTTTAGCCGACATCGCACAGACTGCAGCAAGCATTTGGCTAAGATCAGAACCCACCAAAAGAGGAAAGATAGTCCTGAAATGGTGTGATCTGGATTATGTAGGATGTAGCCACCGCTCAATCGCTTTGTCTAGGGTTGGCGTGCCGCACTCGACCTGGATTAAGTGTACCAAACTTGTTCAAGACTGTGCACGCAATTGGTGCGATACCGATATCGAAAGCATTGCTTGTATCTTATATAAAGGCAATATGCGGCCCAACAGGAAAACCCCTTGTTGCAGATCGCGGCGTTTTTGTAAAATATTAGCACAACCTCCAGAATATCAACATGCCTATCCAGGCACGAAGAGCCTCTTTCGAGCGCCATAACATCTATCAAGATGTCCAAGCTGATGCAAATAAGTCAGGCGTCGCTGTTGAGGAGATCGTCACAGCGCGAATCACAGAAGACCATCTGATCACCAAGTCTCGGGAAGCTTTGACTCTCAAGTCCAAAGCTGGCTTCCGAATCTTTCTCATCATGGTAACCATGGGCTTCAATCAAGCTGCGTAAGCCTGTTGGTCCATTGAACCTTCATGTTGAGCTTACACTTGCGTAGATATGGTATCGACTGGGGTGTCATCAGCAGTATCAACTCCAACGTCTATTGGCATGAGTACTTCGGTTTCGAAAACAGCGGCTCGACACTCGGTGTCATCAACGCTCTCATGACCATTGGCAACTTTTGCGGCGCCCCGTTCCTCAGCGTTGCGGATAAGATTGGTCGTCGCAGCGTCAACTTCATCGGCTGTTTTCTCACTATTGTTGCCTCTCTCATTCAGTGCTTCGCCCCGAATGTCAAGGTCTTTATGTTCGGCCGTTTTGTCCTTGGCTTTGGTACCGCGCTTTGCACGAGCTCGCAGTACATCGCAGAGGTTGCACCCCCACATATTCGTGGACAGTGAGTCTTTAACCCATATCATCCTCTGAACTGGTCGATAACATGTTGCTCAGCATCGTGGGAATATTTGGTGCCTTCTTCCAGGTTGGCTCCCTTGCCATTGTTGGGATCATGATGGGATTCACCCATTGGGAAAGTAACTGGAGTTGGAGAGTTGCCTTCCTCATCCAAGCCATCTTCCCTTTCTTTGTATGCGTTACCATCTACTGGTTCTGCCCCGAATCACCACGGTACATGGTCATGAAAGGTCATAGAGAAAAGGCTCGCACTATGATCTCGAAGTATTTTACTTCCTCTGAAGACCCCAACCATCCGTTTGTCGAGACCATGATAGCTCAGATTGACGAGTCCATTGAGACATCTGCGGTTGGATTCCGTGCTGTATGGGACTTTAGGGTCTTCTTTACCAAGGCTGTCGGTTTCCGAACCTTTGTCCTTCTCCTCTATTCGATCTTCCAACAGTGGAACGGTAAGACTTTCAACATCAGCTCATGTTGCACTCCTCTCTGACCCGTCATAGGTGGCGGCATCATTGGACTCTACATGGATCCAGCGCTCCAAACAATCGGAATTACCAAGAAGCTCGACGTCTTAGGCATCACACTGGGTCTGACTGCCACTTACTTTGTCTTCACTCTTTTTGGTGCATACATCATCGAATATTTCCGCCGACGAACTCTGATCTTCGTGGGTTTGATATGTATCATCATTGCGCAGACCGCTGTCACAATCACAAGTTGGCGAGTAAATGTGCAAGGAGACAGGTATCTTTCATATCTTACAGTTGTTTGGATTTACTGTTTCCAAGTCTGCAGCGCGTCCTTCATAGCGACCATGCACAACCTGTACCCGGTTGAACTATTGTCGCTGCCTTTAAGAGCAAAGGGAATGGCACTGTACACGATGTTCCAGGTATGCTCCTCACAAGTAGTGTTCTGTCAAAGACTAATAGTGAAAGGGTGCTGCCGGCGTTGTCCACAATTACGGAATCTCAGTTGGTATCCAGAAGGTCGGGTACAAGATTTGGGCCGTCTATATCGTGTACAACCTCATACAGCTTGTTGTGGCCTACTTTATCTTCCCTGAGACTGGAAAGCTGAATCTTGAGGAGATTGACCACATTTTTGAGACCAAGAACACTAACCCTACCAAGTTGAGTGTCAAGATTGCAGACGCTAAATGGGCTTCAATCAAGGAGGAAAAGTGGCGGGCTCGTAATAATCCCTCAGTAGTTTAGCCATAGCTTCTCTCAAACACTCAAGCAGAATGATCGTATCAGTCAACGAAACCAATTTGATACGCCGTAACAGTTATTACTTAGTGCTCAAACTGTTTTCCTACTTATCGATGTGCATAAGTTTACCGCAGACAGTTTGTCACGCGGATGCAGATCAAATGTAGTTGCATGCATTCTGTAGATCCTCTTTCCTTTTCCAGCTGTAGCTCAATATATGCGGAGCTAATTGGTGATCTGCGCAGTGGGTAAATGGGTAGACGGGCCGGTAGACACAGCACCTTGCGTTTGCACGCGACAGAACATAGTATACAGCAGCGAGTGCTCTTGCAGATCTTTTCAACAACCTGATACTTGCATCAGTGACTGGGATGACGTTCCTCCAATAAGTAACTCATTAGGGTCACCCAGCATGGGAGGGACAAGCATGCTGATTTGTGGGTAAAATCATCCCCCGCCTTCGACATGCAGCTTCCCCTCCCAGAGCATATGGCATGAGTGATGAGCCTTTCTTCTAGCTTGTTCTGAGCTTTTTTTACCGTTTGACGATTGAACCAAACTCCTCGACAATGGACTCTCAACAATTCGGCGACTCCATCAAAGGAGCCCTGCCTTCTGACTTTGTTTGGGGGTTTGCCACGGCGGCAGCCCAAGTTGAAGGTGCATGGAACAAGGATGGCAAAGGCCTTTCGATATGGGACACGTTTGCTCATACACCAGGCAAGGTGAAGGATGGCAGTACTGGTGACGATGCTGTGAAGTCTTATGATCTTTACAAGACGGATGTTGAATGGCTTCGCAAGTATAAAGTCACAGGTTACCGGTTCTCACTTTCATGGTCACGAATCATCCCCATGGGCGGAAAGGATGACCCTGTCAACGAGGAGGGTATATCATACTACAACCGTTTGATCGACGAGCTTCTTGCCAACAACATCACGCCTTTCGTCACTCTCTTCCACTGGGACATCCCTCAGGCGTTGGAAGATCGTTATGGGGGCATGCTGAACAAAGATGCATACACTCCCGACTTTGTTCGTTATGCCCGGGTATGTTTTGAGCGCTTCGGCGATCGCGTCAAGAACTGGATCACATATAATGAACCTGGCGTCTATTCCCTTGCCGGTTATGCCGCCGGAGTACACGCACCCGGTCGATCCAGTTTCCGTGACCGCAATGAAGAAGGGGACAGCAGCACAGAACCCTTCATCGTCGGTCACACGGAGCTCGTGTCCCATGCATACGTCGCTGATATGTATAAACGCGAGTTCAAACCTATGCAAAATGGCAAAATCATGATTACTCTTCATGGCAATTGGTCTGAGCCTTGGGATGCCGATGATCCACAAGACCAGGAAGCAGCGGAACGAGCAAGAGAGTTCGAAATTGCCTGGTTTGGCGACCCTTTGTACAAGACAGGAGATTACCCGGAGTCCATGCGTGCACAGCTGGGTGAACGTCTTCCCAGATTTACACCAGAAGAAAGCAAGCTTGTACTGGGAAGTTCAGAGTTTTATGGCATGAACTCTTACTCAGCTTTCTACGTCCGTCACCGTGACGGGCCTCCTGATATAAATGACCATTTGGGTAACGTTGAGAAGCTTGATGAGAACAGAAAAGGTGAATGGCGAGGTCCCATGAGCGACACATACTGGCTACGAACGACTCCCTGGGGCTGGGCCAAGTTGCTTCGCTGGATCTGGAATCGCTATGGTGTACCAATCTATATTACTGAGAATGGTACCACGGCACAGGGTGAACATGACTGGAAGCCGGAGGGTCCTGATGATGTGTTGGAAGATCCTTTCAGAGTTGACTTTTACAAGAGTTACCTTACAGAAGTCGCCAAGGCATCGCAGGAAGGCGTTGTGATCAAGTCGTACTTTGGATGGACATTCACAGATAATTGGGAATGGGCTGCAGGTTTCTCGGATCGGTTCGGGGCGACGTGGATCGATTTTGAATCTGACGATAAGACGAGGTATGCCAAAAGGTCTGGGTACTTCTTGGGGGAATTTTTCAATCATCTCATCAGCAAGGATTAGCACTATAACACCTCTGGAGCCCGAATACATATCCAGGTGTCGCCTTTAAAGAATGACAAAACTTATATAATTCAAAATCACTAGATATATCTAGAGTTATCACGTGGAATTCCATCAATCAGAAGACCATCTGTTCAATCCTTCTCAATTCTTAATCCGAAAGCAACAACGCCTAATTTCCGCATGCTGACAACCAACCCCATCGGTATGAACCATTTCCACCTAACGCCAAGGGAGAAGTCTAACCGCCTCCATAGCCTTTCAAATGCATTAGAACTAGTAGTTCTTACTATAAGATCGAAGGAAAAATCATGGCGCTACCCAGAGAAATAAACATGTTGTGAGAATGATACCTTTAAATACCTGCAGGGTAAGTGATGTGCTGATAGGCGTCTAAAGATTCAGGAACGATGGCACTACGCCACTGCATTTTAGTGTCGATCATATTGAGCCGTGCATCCGATTACTTTGGCCTCTGCGCTGCATCCAGTTAGGCCGTGTCAAGGCGATAAAACATCAGCGCGGTAGTTCACCTCCAATTGCTCAAAGACAGAAAGCAGTTATAGATCTGGTTCAAAATTGAGATCCCCCGTATTGCATTTCATCGCCCTGGCCAGGGCGAGTGATGATCTCACGAAAAGTTCATATTTCTTTAAAGAGATCTTCGATTTCTTAACGTCGCCTCCGGTCTTGAACGCCACTCAATCTCATCAGTGGCCGACGCTTGCGATTGGAATGTGTTTGCATTTGGCATTAAGTCTTCTGGACTCAGTAACGGACGCCACAAGAGCTTTGACGCGTTAATGAGATATTGTTTCCGAACCAGCCTCTGTGCCCCGGCGTGATTCAACTTGGTTTGATCCATCCTCCAGAGGCACGAAAATGAGTGTTTGCTGAACGTAACTGGCCTCAGCGAACAAGCAAAATGCTGATATCAGTAGGAATTGTACGTTCGATGCCTCCCCATGTTTAACACTTTAGCACAGTATACTGACTTCATGCCAGGCTATCCAAGCAGTGTTACTAGGGCTGGCACTCTTTACAGTTATTCTTCGATGCTGGACCAGACTTTACTTTGAAAGGAAGAAACTCACTCTGTGTGAGTATTTTGCATGCATGGGCTGGATCTTCGCCTTGGGATGGCTCATAACTTCGACATTGTCCATGCTTATCTTGGTTCATCATCCCCCCGCTGGCCCAGATCTTTTGATCCCGAGTGTCAACTACCAGAAGGTGAGTGACTGCGAAAGCTTCTGCGAGCATAAGCTTATTTGTCCCGGAATACTAGATAGTCTGGGTAGCTGAATACTTCTTCGATACGGGCATTTACTGGCCAAAACTCTCTATCCTCGCCTTTTATTGGTATCTTATCCCAGACGTTTTCCAATCCTTGAGGGTAGCGCTATATATAATTACTGCATACCTTATTTCCTGCATGACAACATCCATCCTACTCAACACTCTGATAGCAAGACCTATATCAGACAATTGGTAAGACTGCCAGAAAGCAATTCATTCCTGTAATATTTGCGGCTAAAACTCCACCAGGTCGGTTGAGAACCAACTGAACTCCGCCTGGAACTCCCTGCCCAATTTTCTAACGCAGTGGTGCCTGAACTTCTCGACAGACTTATTGTGTAAGTCACGAGTCATACTCCAAGATGCTCACGAGAGGCGTGTATGGGCTGACAAAAACCCAGTATTCTGTTTTCCATTCTTCATTCTCAAACATCTTACTTTACGCACTGAGCAGAAACTCGGTCTTGTCGGCGTCTTTTCTCTTGGTGCGATCACACTATCAGTTAGTCTTGCACGCTTCATCACAAGCAACGCAGCGGACTATCAGCTCGACGAGCCATCTGGCAGTAAGTATAACCTCAACTATTTTGATATGTACTAACCTGCGTGAAAGATGCACTATGCATGGCCGAAATGGCGACTGCAGTTATCGTTGTTTGCCTTCCTGGCCTGAAGAAATTGATCATGCGATCGAGAACATCTACAAGCACGACAAGTCGAGGGTTCAGCTCAGCGCAATCGAGCTCAGGTCAGTCATCCAATGTGACAGCATCCAAATCGAGGACTGCGTCACAGGCCTATGCTGAGTGGGGTGTCATGGACGATGAGATTGATCTGGTTACTCGTCCCCAGCAAGCATGTTGACCAAGCCCCGGAGTATTACAGGACGTGGGAAAACTGCTGTGATACTATCAAACACATGGAAGAAGTTTGTACCAGCAATAACATAATATACTGAGAAGTACCTGTGCTATGAATCGGGTGCGCCGTATAGGATCCATTCAGATCCACTCATTCTTGTTCCTTTGGTGCTTTAGAATACAGCACCTGTCCATCCTTCTCAAACCCTGCAATGACGTTCTGTCCTTTATCACTCACGAGCCACTTGATAAACTGTGATGCTTCTTTGCCATTGGGTGCTTTTTCGCCAATCAATGCATGAGCGGGATTCAGCAATGGGTCATCCGCTTCATCACTACCCGCTTTGTACACTACAGTCTGGTTCCTGATCTCTGCGTCAAGGGACAATATGGTACCACGGTCAGTGATAGTGTATTCCTGAAGAATAATTGCCGCCGTAAGAGCTTGGATTGGGAAGGCGATGTACTGGTGATACCATGTTGAGTAGGCAGTTGCCCAAGGAACCTTCAAATTCGGATATCAGCGCAGTCAAACTGACATAACCATGTGTCTATTACCTGTCCTATGCCAGCCCATAGCAAAGTCTCTTTTATGTTGGTAGCCGACTTGTCATAGCGGCTCAAGAACCGAACAGGAGGTTCAGTCGCAGGCCCCTCAGCAGCTTCGTGGAGGTTCGCAAACGTGGTGAGGATGTCGTCGGTTTTTGAGATGTTCGCAGGGTTCTCTTTGGGCCCGACAAGGAGAAAGTGGTCTCGGAATGCGTAATAGCTAGGGCTTTTGGCGATGCCTTGTTTTATGGCAATCTGTTCCGCAGCTGGGTTGTATGTGATTCCAATGTCGGCATCGCCTGTCTTGAGATACTGAATGCTGTAAAAGGTATCGCTTTTGATCCAGGCCACCTGAAATGGTTTCTCGCCGTCGGCGACACGGCTTTTGATGTACGCATTGGCAAGCTCTAGCCATGTGAATTAGCATAGTTCAATTCTCTGGCCGGGTGGCTTCACCCTTGATCAAGCCGCTTTGGCCAGCACCTCCGTTGGCAATACGCAGCCTGATTGTGTCATTCTTCTCATGGTCGAAGCCGCCTCCATAGACCGCCTCGGGAACAACAGCGAAACAATTGCTCACAAGAAGAGAGATCGCGAGAAAATAGGCTCTCATGGTTAATGCTTGATGGAGATGACTCAGTTTGTGAGAAGGAGAAGAGTTCAGAAATTGGTTCAATTTATGGGTGGGAGATAACTGCTTAACATTGGCAAGTACTGGCAACTAGCAACGCCGTACAGGCCTCAAGAGATTACAATGTCTCACGTCTCCCAATCACGAGATACGTTACTTCAGCTGAGACTATTAATTTGGTGCTACCGCGCTAGTAAAGGCAGGAAAGGCATTAGTCCCAATCGGCAATAATACTTGGCTGCTCTTGACATACTGTTAGGAAGACCATCGACTGATTATTTTGACACCCTAATTCAAGATTTCAAGTTTTGTTGATCCGCGGGGCCATGATAAACCGCTATGTCAGCATGGGCATCCAAATTGGGATGTAGTAAGCACTAAGAAGCTGATTATCCTCGTTCAACTGTTGTGTTTTCAGTAATTGATTGACGCGGCTGAACTTAGATCGATTAATGTCGAGATTGATCGCCACGCTAATGATTCTTGGCAACAGTAGCTGCCACTAAAACGGCAATGTACCCTCAGACCGCTCATTACATTGACTGCATTTGACCGCTACTGACGGTAATCTCCTGTGATGAATAGAACGGGGCTGTGGATACTAAGAACATAACAAATTGGCCACGATCCATAGGGTGTTCTAAAATTGGGGCGTCAATTTAAGTAGGATTATGGACCACAGGTGGATAATACCCAAGATATCCAGACATTCCTACATAGGTCACCAGAACTATAGAGCCCTCAAATCCAACTCGAGTTATGTTTACACCACTTTGACATCCAGCACAGGAGCTTCTTTGAATAACAAGTTACTCTGGGAATAGGCCAGACCAATGCGACAAAATGACTTATCGCCATCAGCATTTTCAGATTGACCCAATACTAGCATGAGGTGTTCTCTGTCACTCTCATCGCCTCTAGTACTGTATCTCGAGCCAATGTATAGGCAATGAATCTTGGCCGTGAACTTGGAAGGCTTTGGATCCTGCTTAGCCCTCGACACATTGCCATTATTCGAGACCAAGATGCTGTCAGGAGAAAACCCCCATTTGTCTGTAAGCCCCGAGATTTCATAATAGAGACTTGTTTCCGGGTCGTCACAGGACAACATCGCTTCAGCGACCTGTCCTCTCATGACAATGTAGCCGGCAGTGACCCTGCCGAAGGGATTGAGCCCTGGGACATAGGCGTTGGCTTCTACTATCGTGAAGCCAGGTTCAAAGGTGCTGATCATTCTCTCTACCTGACTTTTCACTGCTCCAGGTATCGAAGCCCACGACCATGAGGGTGCCACGTATTCCGTAGAAAGGGTCGGTAAGTCTTGATACCCTCTATATTCCCGGGCCCAGCAAAGCTCGATACCAAGGTTATCCTCCCACATGCCTGCAAGATAGCGGGTCTTTGTGATTTTATGGACACGAGACGCGACGCCACTCAGTGCCGGTAATTTGTCAGTGACAAAGGTGAGCTGACGACGTGAGTAGTATGTGACCAAATCACCCCACATATCCCAAACGAAATTCATCATGTTGGCGTCGGAAGAGAGGGAGCTGGGGCTGTCAGGGCGCGAGAGTGCGGAAGCCTTTGACGAAATTTGAGAGTCGAAACCTGGTGGAGGTATGTTCGTAGGGCTCTCACTCTCCGACGAGGTACCGTCACAATGATCTTCTACTGGGCTGTCGATATCGCGAAACATATCCGGATCCAATCTAAACCTGAGAATGGACAAAACTTTTGAAAAGCCCAACCTCCCAGAAGCTTCAAGGTCCGGTATATATTGTTGCGGCACAGCCTGTTCCGAGCACTCCCAGATGAGTTCCGACGGCGTGAAATAAATCGTGCGCGATGACATGGCAGCCTCTTGCCATGCCCACGCTCGTGTAAATAGCATTCCTTCTTCCTCCGGCTCACTCGGTATGCGCTGCGCGTAAACGTCTTCGCTACTGAAACCATTTGTAAGCTGGAACTTGACCGGACACCACCTCTTGTCTCTTGGGCCGAGAAATGGGACTGTAGAATTTGATGATGTGGCTGTTGAGATGGTCAAGAAGGAGTTTTCGTAGTAATCGCACATTTGCAAAGACTCAAGTTCCCAGTCTGACTGGCTGTCTTGAATAATGCAGAGTGAATCAATCCATATATACTCGATTTTTAGCATCCGAACGATCCAAATCGCTTGCTGGAAGACAATCGGTAGAGAGTTTGCGTCGATCGACTTTTTCATGTCTTCGAAGTTGGCAGTAGTTGTCCTGAGTGGTTGTTTATGACCCCAGCAGTGGCTCAATGTTACGTATCGCGCTGGCACGTTCGTCAACTCGACAAGCCGGATATCAGCGTCTGAAGAACCAACGCTAAGGACACGTGTTGGAAGAGGTGACTCGAGGTGTCTTTTGCATGACTCGTGTTGCGTGCAGCATTCTGACATCTGTGCATTGATGAAATTTACGGATGCATCGAGCTCGGTTGATTCGGGATATGCGCTGAGGATTCCAAGGTTAGGAATGAGTCGAGACTAATATTTGGGTTATTATGAGCCTAGATACTCGTACAAACAAAGTAATTTGTCTACCTTATCATGAGAATAGATGATAAACCCGGCCTTGCTCGCATAGTTATCCTCGGAGCCAGGGTTCTTCTCAAAGAAGTACTCAACGCTAATGGGCTCACCCTCTTTGCTTTGAACAAAAATCTGAGTTGTCGGTCCATCAGCAAGGCTATTCATGGCCGACTTGAGAATACGACAATATCCACAATCATCTCTAAGACTTTGAGTCCCGATAGTATGGAGTTCATCATATTCGTTGCCGGGCTGTAGGTCTCTACATATAGGACAGCTCTGCGTAGCGTTGACTAAGGCGTCGAGCTCAGCTCTAATTTGGTGAGCGGAGTTCTCCATAGTGGTGTGCAAGTTGAATGAAGAAAAACACCAGGTACATGAGCATGTACAGGGTAGAATTACCTATAAGTCCAGGTAGCTAAATCGAATCCATTCACACGAAAAATACCAGGCGGGGGATATGTATATATACCCATGTTGTAGAGTCTTAGCTCCTGAAGTGGCATGGCTGAGCAAAACATGCAAGTATAAGCGCTTAGAGTCGTCTATTTGAGCTCATTGGTTTGAGATGCAATTGCAACGAACCAGAGCCATTTTGCCAACACTAGTCCCCTCTTTTTAGGGCTGTCTGTAAGCGGGATTTCTTACTTACTTGCTGCTAGTGAAATTGGGCATTTCGCGTCTCTTATTTATCTCTTTATTATTTATTATATACCTTGATCTATCTCACAGAGATATCGAGTAAGGTTTCTTAATTCAATATTCTATCCTCGGGAATACTTCTTCTGTGACCTTGTTATCTCCCATCACGTAATACATGACTAAGCTTTTTCTCCACATGGCTCTCTCTTTGTAAGGCTTCGAGACCAAGGAGCTGCGAAGGACTTTGCCACGCTACACCGCCCTTCTGGTTCATAAATCTTGGCTTCAATATTGTCAGCTCATGAAACTTGGAAGGTAAAGAGACCTGGTCGTTAAAGTCGGGCCATTTGTATTTTACAGAACTACTAAATAATGCCCGGGCATGAGAACCTAGGCAGAACAGCTCCTCGTAGCCGAACGGGTTGTCTGGAATGCCGTAGGCGTCGCATTCGATGTGATGAGCAACAGCCAAGATGGTAGGTCTCAGATGACCTAAAGGATACCGCGGAAGAGAGAGACTAATATGAAATAATATCAAAGTGGTAATTGCCTTCGATCTAGGAAACACCGCGTATGCGAGTACCCTATGCCCACGTTGACACTGCGCGACCGAAGAGCCCAGGCGAAAGCGCGTAGACCGTGGGACGAGTTGACGTTTGCTGCAGCTACAACCGTGGCTAATTCCCCGGAAACCTTGCCTTGTGAGGTTATTATAAGCGATACCTTTAGCACAACATCAGATCCTTTTGACAGTCTTTCTATCAACTTACCGTATAAGTCGAAAGAGCTCTTATACCACTGTAAGTGGCCCGGTTTAATGCCAAATCAATGAACTGACCGGAGAGCTTACTTTTTGACGGTTAGTTTATCAATCTGTTGAGAGATTTGACAAAGTCTCGAAGCAAAAACTCGCCTATCGGTATGGCCTGACAAGCGCTTTTCGCTCTCTTTAGTTCTGTACTCTAACCTCGAAGAGAAGCCTATCACCTGTCACTAGCAACTCCTATGCGCTTCGGTCCGTAATGCTTTTTGCCGCATTACACTATGATTGGTCTACAGAAGAAGGCACTCAAGCGTTCGAATCGACCTTTCTACACCATAAGATTAAAGCTATACAGGCTATCAATGGCTGGATCGCTGGGGGACATCCTCAACTTATAACTTCCATTATTCGACAAATTGCCACATTGTGCTTCATTGAAGTAAGTTAAATACGTCCTATTCAAAAGCTCCATGGACTTGTGCATTTGGGAAATTTCTGTCCTACTCACAGCTCATCCTCTTATCTCAGCTTTGCTTGGGAAGTTTAGCTAGTGCCAAAGCCCACATCGATGGGATGGTAGTCCTCTTGAATCAGCAAAGACTGCGAATACACGAACAACCAGACCCATACAAATTTCAGGATGCCGAAGAATACCAACAAGACGAAGAACTCACTGATCGATACTTTCTGCTGTACGTCTTCCACCCTGGTAATGCGCCAAATGGCCAATGGACATTTAACAAGCAAATGTGTTCTCCCATATGAGATGCGTGCTGATTATGGAGCAGAGTACTTAGCTTTTATACCCGCTATACACTGCACGAAGAGCCATACTCCGGCCAGAAGTTAGGAGAAGATGAGACCCCGGCACCTGCAAGTGAAACTACTATATTGCACCCCTTGAATCAAATAGAGAGAAACTGTGACCCTTCACTCAAGCTACTTTCTCTTCGCACGATGCTCTTATTTTCAAAGCCCGTGCCACTAGGAGCAACATTGAGCTGGATCAATGGAAGGGACACGATTGAAAGATTAAAAGATATCACCAAGAGTCTGGACATGATGTACGCAAAGCCGTATGTCGACCATGACGAAGTCCAGTTCTCTATGGCATGCACGAACTGTGTTGCGTCACAGATTCACCTCGACCAGTTAGCTTCTCACATCGCCTCATTCTGTTACACCAAGGATGAATTGATAAGGAAGGAAACAGAAGTTTGGGGCAAGCTACAGGAACAAGAACTTCGTACTACATGGTGTGGCCTATATATTGCTTCGAGCATCTATATCCACCGCGTTCTTGGGCTTGGTGAACCAGAAGAAACGATGGCCCACGATTATATTATTCATGTTTTCAAGAAGGCTCTTATGAAACAGTTAGGGCGTATGGGAGACGGTAGATCGATGAGCGACCAGCTTCTACTCTGGGAGATGATGTTGGGCGCCATCAGTGTCACAGTAGACAGTCAAGGTTCTGGTCAACAAGCCACGAAATACTTCTCCCAGGCAATCTGGCAATGGAGCAGGACTGCTCAGATAAGAAATTGGTCAGATGCCAAAGCTATTCTAGCAAGAATAGCATGGCCAGAAGTTAATGCGATGGAGGATACTGCGAGGCAGATATGGGAGCGATCATGTGGTGAAACATGGTATTGACTTCTTCTCCTACAACTTGTTACAAAGAGGTTTGCGATGAAAAGTAGAAGAAGAATAATGATTTTAGAATTAGTGACTATAGACAACAGAGGCGAGAGTAACTCTGAGTCAGCTTTTAAATGATTATGATTTTTCCCCAGTTCCATTAAGTTTCAATATCTCACCGATTACTGGAATACACTGATATTGTTGTGTGCTAGTTTGGTTCAAAGTTAATCCAAAACAATCACTGCCGTAGCATAATCCCTTTTGGGCTCTTTACCCGAACTGAGGGGGGGCTCAAATGTACCCTGTCTTTTCAGCTCAGATTGCGACATTCAATGTTCTAGCCTTCGTTACCCATGCTAGGGTGATACGAAAGAGGATTAGCATTACATCGATTAGCCTATAGTGGGTATTTCGGAGTTTATCTGCCGAGCTCTTGGCATGTGATATAGACAAAGTGAGAAGGGTGTCAGGAGAGCAGGGTAGTTAGTGGATGGGGATTGAGAAATAGTAAACCTGCGAAATAGACTTAAATCCTGACTAAAGAGAAAGAAAGATGTAGTATAATTGACTATAGTACTGGATGAATGAAGACTTTACTTCAAGGCTGTATTCTATCTGAGAAGATGGAGGAGAAACCAAAGATAGGAAGCCTCCAGCTTGACGTATGTTCCACACAATAACCCATTCAAGAAAATAGAAAGGTAGAGAGCCACATGAACAAAAGAGTGAAGACTTGATGGATAACCTTGGTCTAGCTTATAGAGATATCGAGTAAGGTTTACCCAATCGACTCTAAGTCCCAACAGGCAAACAAGCGATTGTAGGTGGGCTTTTCGGCCTAGCAGAAGCCTCAATGGGTTCATCAATCCTTTCTCGTACAAGGCAATAGGGTACAGCGAGATGCAAAGAGAAAGGACCGACTACAGGATCCATAGATATGTCTAAGGACAATGAGAGTCAGCACCAGACGAGCAACCAAGGTTTTGGTTCGTCTGCGAGCCGCCCTTGAGAGGGAAATCAATATGGCCAAACTTCCAATCACTGCACCATTCACCCTCGCCACAGCCAGACGTGCACCTGCGCTGCGCCGTGTCAGCCCAGCCCATAAGGTTCTGCTGCCAAACGGACGCCTTGTCTCCAGGGTTGATGTTGCAGGTAAACTCGAAACCCGTGGTCTTGCTGGTACTCCAAGAGTAACCCAGACTCAGGCCCCCGTTGCCATTGATCGTCTTGGCGATGCCGTCCACGCTACCGATACCCGCGTCAAAGCTGCCGGATACGGTCTTTGTGATTGTCTGGCTTGTTTGGAAGGCGTAGGACGCGGTTGATGAGCTTTTGGTGTTGTAATTGCAGCCACTAACTTTTTCCCAGGAACTCCACCACGTGCCGGTACGGTCGACGTTGTTGGTAGTCCATCGACGGGGGATGCAGTCACGTTTGTCCAGCTTGTCGACGGGCTCTTTAACGTAGAAGCGAGACCCGATGATGAGAGTGGTTGTGTTGCTTGTGTCATCGAGCCAGGCGTTCACCTCAACCATGTTGGGGTCAATTTCCTCCGGCTTGCTGCCAACAGGCGAGGCAGAGGCGGCGAGGAGTGAGGTGAGGGTTATGAACGTGGACAGAAGCATTTTGATGTTGAGAGGAATAGTGGTAATGGATGAGAGAGAAGTAGGAGGCTGAGTGAGGGTTTGTGATCTATTCATGCTCGTCAGGTCGTCTGTTCTTATACTTTTCCCATCATCAGCAGCAACCTCGGAAGCTGCATAACCCAGATAACAACGATACTGGCTCAGGGGCTGTAGTGCCGATAATACTTCCTATCTTTTGACAAATGGTATACTGTCAGGCGAGACTACAAGCAACGTTGCAGACCATCAGCTATCAGAGACACTGTCTCTGAGAGTCTCGACTCAATGGAACGAGGCTGTGGGTCTCATCCATGCTATAATTACCGTACTGATAGGTGTATTGAGATTACGACTTGAGTAGCTGCCTGGCAGATTTGGCAGGATACAGATTTGACAGCAAAAACAACTCCACCATCTCGTTCCATTCAGTCAAGTCTATATCGTACGAGTGTTGCTATCTGGCGTAGCAGTACTTTTGTTTTAGTCCCAAAGGTTGTCGCGCCAATTAGCAACACTTAAGAGCATGTACCATTTTCCTTTTGTTCAGCTAGTTCGGTTATAGGAGCTAAATAGGTTAGTAGTAGATTCACTAAGGTAAGGCTGAACTTTTGAGGTTTGACTAATCCTTGCCGTGTCCCCTCATTGTTCTGGGTCTACTCCGAGCGCTATGCATTCTGGTTGGTCATTTCACAATGCAGCTGACTGACTTGAACGCCGCTTACTGACCCAACTGCAGCTTACTGATCCAAATGCTTTATAATTAATCTAATAAATCTCTGTGCGGATATAACCTGGATATTCTCTATTTGTAATTGTGTAATTGCGGAAGGCATAAGTATAAGTATAATTAAGGCCCTCTAATTAACAAAGATATCCGAGGGTGAGTAATCAACCCGACCTGATAGCACTCAAGTATATCTTTAACATTTATTTACGATGATACCTCCCTTTCTGGGCCTTCTTTTTCTCGTGTCTTCGCCATATGGCGCTGGTGCGATCCCTTCGCCCAGTCCTAACAGCTTCAATTTGAAGCCGTTTACGATTAACCTCTCTCATGAAGTTCCTCACATGATGGACCTGGTTGAAAGAACGAGGTTGCCAACAAACGCAGAGTATCTTGATCCAAAGGCCGGTATTGCCCTAGAAACTTTGGTATCTCTGAAGAATGAATTGGTCCACAATTTTGACTGGGAGAATGAGCAGAAAGAATTGAACAAGTATGCTCCTGTTTCCAACATTGGCTCACAGCTTGTCATTCTAATGCCTTCCTGCATAGGTTCCACCATTACACTGCCGAAATTGAAAATTTGACTGTCCACTTTATCCATGAAAAGTCCCATCGCTCCGGTGCTATCCCTCTGATTCTCAACCACGGATGGCCCGGGTCATTTCTCGAATTCATTCCATTGATTGAGAGACTTAAGGACGACTTCGATATCATCATACCTTCTCTTCCAGGCTTTGCTTTTTCCTCAGCACCACCGACGAGCTGGACGGTTTCCGATACGGCAAGGGTCTTTAATACTCTCATGACCAAAGTCTTGGGATATTCCAAGTATGCGACATACGGAACGGACTGGGGATCTGGAGTCTCATACAGTCTATATGCAAGTTTTAACACTTCTGTGCGAGCTGGTCATTTTTCCTTTCTCCCGTTCTATCCCTTGAACTTAACCCAGCTTGCTGCCGAGAATATCAGCTTGTCCTCTCTAGAGGAATTTGAAGTGCTCCGTCTCCAAGACTGGTCTGCAACTGGCAATGGTTATTTCCTGGAACAATCTACAGAGGTAAGCCCATTAATGCCAATTCCAATATATTCCGCTAAATACTTCTTCTTAGCCAAACGCTATCGGCTTCGCGCTCTATGACAACCCGGTAGGACAATTGTCCTGGATTGGAGGGAAGTTTATTGAATGTAAGTCTTAAACAACAGTACTTCCTGTGCCTTCTAACATATGCAAGGGTCTGATCCTCGAGCTGGAAGTACGCCTTCTGTTTTGAACCATAACGAAATTCTGAAGTCGATTTCATTATACTATCTCACTAAATCGGTTGTATCCTCTATTTATATATACTACTCAAATCCCGCGGGATTCAGTACGACTTACACAAAGGCGTTGACTGATGCGCCGATGCTCTTCAGCGCTTTCAAGTATAATGTTGGGTATTGGCCACCAGCGCTAGCTACCCGCGTTGGAAATCTTGTTTCTTATAAAAGTAAGTGCAGACAAAGAGTGATTTGCATTATTGTACTAATGCGGCGTCTCAGATCACGATTTTGGTGGCCACTTCCCTGGTCTTGATAACCCTGTTGCATTGGCTAAGGACTTGAAGGAAATAAAGAAATATTGGAAATAATAGTCGGGTTTGTATTCTCATATTGAGGTAAATAGAACGTGGCTGTGGATATGCTACAATGCAATTTGTACTCTCTAAGTTTCGGCGCACAATACTGTTCTGAATAGATCTTCAAGCTTCAAATTGATGTTGACTGTTATGATTTATGGTAGCTTTCAAACCTGTTCAAGGCTATCGAGTCGAAGTATGTAAGTCCTATGCCGTAAAATCCAAGATGAAAGGATATTAGAGGCTGCACATAATTTAGTTAATTTGTGGGTTGGTGTATATGTATAATTACTTTATATGATTTTTATTATAATTGTAATATATATTTATATTTATATTTTATTTATATTAATAGGTAGATTCACCAGCCTAATTAATATTAAAAGTAACAGTAGCAAGATTATAGAGAAATAGATGCATGAGAATTGCCAATGGCTGGACATTCTTGCAATCTTATGTGATTCTTTTACTCCGGAGATAAAAAGATTGGACGAGGCGACGACGGAGGGAATTTGATCCGGCTGTTCCGGTTTGCAGACTGGTGCAGAGACTATGGGATCAAGTTCAAGTTGAATACGGTTGTCAACATCCACAATTGGAATGAAGACATGTCAGCTGAAATTGAGAGACTCGCACCCTTTCGATGGAAAGTGTTTTAGTGTCTGCTAGTTGCTGGCGAGAATGAAGATGCGACCCGACTGCGAGATGCGAGGACCCTCCTCGTGAATGACGAACAATGGAAGACATTCTGCGACCGGCATAAACATCTTCCATCCTACGTCCCAGAGGATGCAACGGCTATGGCGAGCAGGTACTTGCTTCTGGATGAATGCATGTGCCTTTTGGACAAGGGCGAGGGCATTATCACAAAGAGTGAATCAATCTTGAAGGTCGGCGTTGAGAAAGCAATGGGCCAGGTTGTCTGGAGGGTTCGTTCATCAATCGCGGCGGCATTTATGACTGGGACAGATCGGATATGGTGCAAGAAAGTGGTTGCAGCGGGGGCAGTAGTGAAAAGCTGCAGTGGTGATAGTCATTGTTTCGATTCATCGGTTCATTCGGGCTGTGAGGTCAATGCAGGAAATGATCATAGTGTTAACAAACCGTACCCAAATGACCAGCAACGCTGTTGGTAACTGTAAACACGAGTGAAGAAGGAATACGATTCGTCCTCGCATAATCCTTCCTTAGTTGGGCTAGTGGCTCACCTCATAACGCGATTCCCTATACGGCTTAAGCTTATCCTGTACCACATGACAACGCCTCCGCACTCGCATTGAGATATCGACTTCGCCTATCATGTCTAAACGCGGGGAACAGGTTGATATAAGTCACTAACAACCCCTACCAGACCGTTATCTTATACGGAGTTGGTCAAGTTATATAACTCGTATGACTTTCCCCACGTATCATTTTGCCTCTTGAGCCAAATTCTTATTCGCTCTCCTGTACTATCAACATCTTTTCACTATGCACCATCAAACACATCAACCAAGCTTAAAGTCACAAGATACCAAGGAGGTTTCGGAAATGCCTGCCAAGACAGACAGCGATGCTGTTGAATGCGGATCAATTTCTCCTGGCGGTGTCACCGTCCAGACACTCAAGCCGTTCACGACATTATCTGCCCTTGGCATTGGTTATGGTACAACCAACACCGCTGTCGGACTCCTGCTCGTCCTTGGAAGTACTCTTCCAATGGGCGGATCACCTCTTTTCTTCTGGGGGTTTCTTGTCATGGCGGGTGTTGGTCTTGCAACAGCTACAACTTTGGCAGAACTCGCATCGGCCATGCCTCATCCCGGCGGACAGTATATCTGGGTCAATCGCTTATCCCCGCCTCGATATCGTCGCTTTCTGTCATACACAATCGCTGTTGTCAGCTGGCTTGCCGCGGTTGCTACAGGCGCTTCAGCATGTCTCTCAGTACCCACGGGCTTTTGTGCCATCATCTCTCTGCTGAATCCCAACTTTGTGTACAAGCGTTGGATGGGATTTGTTGGGTTCCAGCTGTTGAATATCTTGACTGTTATTTGCGCCAGTTTTGAGCATGCCCTCCCAAGAATTTCGAAGATCATGCTCCTGTTTAGCTGCATGACGATTGGTGTTATTTTCATCACCCTATTTGCCATGTCTGATAGCCACGCCTCTGCAAAGGACTATTTCACGACCTCGGTTAATATCTCGGGATGGCCAAAAGGAATTGCCTTTATCATCGGGATGAATGGCGCCAATTGGAGTTTCTCATGTCTTGACGTCGCCACCCACTTGGCGGAGGAAATGCCCTCACCCAGCACCGATATTCCCAAAGCTCTTATGTGGACTATCGTTGTCGGATTTGGGTCCGGACTCTTGGTCGTGACTTCGGTTCTGATCAACGTACCTACTATAGATGGAGCCGCGGATAACTCAGCCCTTTCTCTATTCTACATGATTACCAAGAGCAAAGCGGCTGCTGTCGGTTTGTGGATTCCTGTTCTTATCACAACAGCTGGTGCGGTTTGGTCAATCCAGACTTGGCAGTCCCGCCTTGCTTGGACAATCAGCCGCGAAGGTGGCTTTCCATTGCATCGCCATCTCAGTAAACTTGCACCTGCTCCGTTTCATACGCCCGTCTGGTCGTTGATTTGGTCTGCCTCTGGAACTGCTCTCTTTGGCTGCCTCTATCTTGGCTCAGATCTCGCCTTCAACTCTTTGATCTCGACGGGCCTGTTGCTCCAATACATTAGCTACAGTGTTCCTGTTGTATTGGTTCTTTTGCAAGGGCGCAGCAATTTCCAACATGGCCCGTTCTGGTACCCCAAGCTCGGATTGATTGCCAATATTTTTATGCTGTCATGGACAATGGTTGCCCTCGTCTTTTATTGTTTCCCCTACTATATGCCTGTTACAGCTGTGCAGATGAATTATGCCTCCCCCGTCTTGGTCGGTATTGCTCTCTTGTCTTTATGCTTTTGGTTCTTCCACGCCAAGAAGAATTATGAAGTAAAGGAGATTTGGAATGCTTGAGGAATGCATGGAGTAAATAATATTTAATTGATGTTTTGGTACCTATGATTGCAAGTGTATTTGTAGACATGTCAAGTTTAATAGTCCAGTCACCCAACATTGAACAATTTCTCGTAACGACTTCTGCTAGTAATTCCATGCTTGATCCAGAGTTAAGTCGATTGATTGGAAGGTTGTAATGTCTCCTCTCAAGATACAGAGTTAAATCCGGATCCATTTCACTTCTCATGGAGGCGCTAAGTCATATGATCCGAGTTCTGGAGCTGGCTAGCAGAGGCACTAACTTATCGTAAAAAGCGGGGGAACCCACCAGCTTCGTCTTGTAACACTTCCCCTTGTCACATTTTCGTCTCCCTTCAATTCAAAAAGATCCCTGATGCGACTGCGCTTCTGCCTGGCTTACTCGTAGTGATCATGCAGCAATCAGTCAAAACTCCACATTCAAAGTCTCGCAATGGGTGCCTCAGGTGCAAAGCAAGAAAGGTAAGCACAGCCAAACCAATGCTCACCCGTCTACTCACATCTTGAGAGGTTAAATGCGATGAGCAGAAGCCGGCCTGCATTCGTTGTGAGGACCAAAAATACGAATGCCCAGGATATGCACTCAACGTACGTTGGTCACAAAAGCACCAGACACGACCAAATATTAGCGAGAGCCCTTTACGACAGAGGAAGGCAAAAAGTCGTGTGAACGTTGCTTCCAATTCAGTAGCCGAAGGCTTTCACCAGATGAGCGGATGGCTTGATCCTCCATCTCAATTGGACTTCCTCATGCCAGCCGACATATTCAGCGTTGACAATATATCGCAAGACCTCCTGGGGGGCGAATCCTCGCCGCGGATCAACGACAACATACTAGATTCGCCTGGCGGGAACTTGACAGTCTGGACTCTCCCTGAGGACTCAGGGTCAACATTCGATGTCGAGGAACCAATGGGAGTGATTGGACAGTTATTTGGTGATTCCATAAGCCACTCGATGTTTCAATCTGAGAACCCAATGCGGGAAGAACAATCCCTCGTCCAGACTCGTCATCCATGCCTCGACCCGCACCCTCGAATGTCCAACACCCCAACCACTCTATCTGAATATTTTTTCCGCGAAGTCATTACTCTTTACTGTTCCTGGGATAGCGAACTCAATGTCATGCGCAATATCATTGAGAAAATGTGGCAGTCTTCCGGAGTGCTCTACCATACAATCCAGAGCATGGCTGCAGCATGTTTGTCAAAAGACTTCCCGCACTTGCTACCAGTTGCTCGCGAAGAACGTTCACAAGCACTGCATCTTGTGAAAACCAGACCTCAAGAGGTGGAGAAACAAGTAATGCTGCTTGCATCTATGCTTCTTGGCCATACCTCGAGCTGGTTGAGCCCGCATAATCTTGCAACCGAGACCTTTCGAGCAAGTCAAAGCATACTGGATGAAATTGCTACTGAGAATAGTAACAGCTCGGAGATGTCCTTCTTCAGAGACACCATGGACTATTGGGCTATGCTTCTGGTCTATCTCACGGATAAGAACGAGCTAGGAGAGTACCGTCGAGAGGTACGTGTTGGACCACCAAACCTGACGAAACCGATCGAGCCACATCCTTATTCTGGCATTTCACAAGATATGGTTCGTGCACTGACGAATACGGGGATACTCATATTCCAATATCGGAAACACATGTCAACTATGAAATTCATGACTGAAAGCGACCTTGATATCTTCAGAGCTGCATTGCGGGAAGGCAGACGGTTGGAACGCATGTTCCTAGCACACCAGGTGCCAAACACGTTCGAGACCAAGAACCCTGGCGATCCGAAGACACCACTAAAGCATCTGGAGCTTATGGATGAAGCGTATCGATGTACAGGATTGTTGCAGCTCTACCGCGTCTTTCCCGATCTTCTGAACGAAAGATATTCACCTTGGAACAAGGATCACATTTTACGACCTTTACCAGCACATCACGTGCCGACAAAGCAGGAGAGGCAACTATGGCTGACAAAGTTTGCTTTGCATATCCTTGGTGTCTTGGAAGACATTCCGTTTGAGTCAAGGACTCGCAGTGCCCAGCCGTTTGTTATGGTCGCCATATCGGGTGAGCTGAGGCAGAAATCTCACAGTCTTCAAGGGTCTGAAGTCTCTATGACAGATCCCGGCATGCTGAGCATTGACGGTGTTTCTATCGAAGTAGCCCGTGCTCGTAAGTTTGTGAGCTCCCGGCTGTCAGCATATACACATATCTTGCCCTTACGAAAGAGCCAAGTCATCTTGGAGCTCATCAATCAAGTTTGGTCAGCGATAGATGAGGGACAGGAGGATGCTTACTGGTTGGATATTGCTTACGAGAAGAAATTAGGCACAATGATGGGGTAGTGTAGTTGGTGGTTAAAGTTACATTAAGGGAGTTCATGGTACTATAGACTATTCTATTTCACTGTCTAACACTTTACAACTTCCCCTCCTTGGCACCTGCAGGCAAGGCGATCTTTGCAAACTTGAGCAACGTTTGATCAGCTGTTAGCTTCGTCTGGAGACGTTCCTCTGTGATGAGGAATGCCCCAGGAAACCATTCGCTGACATCCTCTCCGAGTATCATCTTAACCAACGCCTCACCAGTCAGCCAGCACTTGTCCATCCCATACCCGTTGAATCCTGCAGCTATCCACTGTCCATCGTCCCCAATAGTGCCCGTCAGAGACTCAGGTATCCTGCCAACTACAGGAAGTCCATCTGCTGTATGTCCTTGAATACCCGACCAAATGGACTCGATCTCTGAAACGGTCTCTGGTCCCCAACCATTTAGAAACAATTTTGGCAAAACAGTAGAAAGTGCCTGCTTTGCTTCTTTAGGAACATAAGTATCATCCGAAGTCAAGATATCCTTCATATATGCCGTCTCGTTCCCGATCCAAATACTCTCTGTCAGAGCATTTTGCTGCAAATAATAGAGCCCAGTGTCGAAGAAGCCAGTTTCGGCATCCAGTGTTGGCTTATGAGACAAGCTCCAGGATCGAGTTCCTTTGTGTTTTGGAAACAACGGTCCCGGCCTTTGAACTGACATTGTTCCTCGGAATGGATACAGACCTCCAGCTAACCCTGGCAACAAGTGCGCCGCATGCCCGTTAGTGCAATGGATGACCTTTTTAGCTCGGATGCTTCCCCTTTGAGTAGTGATGGTGTAGGGATATAAGCCCTGTGAGAACTCAACACGAGTGACCGGCGTATTTGTCTCAATATTCAGTCGATTGGGGTACTTGTTCAAGAGACGCTCGTAGATTCCGGTGAGTAGTCGATAGGGCCAAATTGCACCAGCTTCATGTTCAACGGCTCCAGATGCATTCTTGATATTCCATCTCTGGGTGATATGTCAGACTTGTTGTAGCTCGATTAGAAGACGTATTTGGGTTATACCTCTGGAACTTGGTCTCTTTCAATTATACTGTGATAAGCGCTGTACTCTGGAACCTTGTCCTGGAAACCCAGAACAGATTTCTTGGCAGCAGCCCATGTCTCGTCGTCTCCAACAGCCATGACTTTGAGAACATCTCGTATCTGACATTCTTCTTGCAAAGCAGGGTCGAATTCTCTGACAAGTTTCATCAAATGCTCAATATTCATGATGCTGAAGCGGGTGATCTCCTTTGCCGCCTCAGTGCCATGCTGCTCAGCCAGAGGACCGAATGTATGCCCAGATGCTGTGACAAGATGTCCACCATTGCGTCCCGTTGCCCCACTAACAAGAGTGCGGGCCTCAAGCACCGTTACAACTGAGCTAGCTGTAGATGGGTGCTCAAGGAGTGTCTTTGTGACACTACAGCCAGTGATACCGGAGCCAATCACCGCAAAATCAGTAAACTCTGGCAGAACCCTTGACTGTATAGAGGCCAGAGATGGATGAGGAGGAATTTGCCAAGCTGACACTGTTGGGTTTGGCCTGGGCAATCCCGGGTCCTGGAGGATTGACCTTGACACGCTTTTGAGGAATCGAGCGGTAGCTGGGTCTGTAATCTCGTCAGTAAATGAGTCTGTCTTCGATGCAGTAGGTCTTACTGAGATACGAGTTCAGCTCGTCGTCCGAACCAGGCCTAATTTGGCTTTCAATCGGTGTCTTATCGGTCGCCATGTCTGGTACTGTGCTGCGTGTAGCTAATTGAGAAGTGAGTAATCTCTCTATCTATATCACTGCTGGGTAATGTCCAGGCTGGGACATGGGACTGGCTGTACCCGCTGAGGTCAAGGTACCAAGTACCACTGCCCACTTGTCCAAGTTCCGAGTTGGGCGAAATTGTGTCAACGCTGCGACTTACTGCGTTTGGAAAGTGTATGCGAGGTAGATAACGACAACGAAATGCGATTGGTGGTGGCAAGCATCTCCCCACTTTCAACAAGCCACGGGTTTCCAACTAAGCTTAAACCGAGATAAGCCACAAATAGCTTCCACCTGAAGAAGCATTGTGAGGGGTAATAAGTCGTCCCTGCTTCGGTCTCCTTGTTAGTCTCGTGGGAGTTGAATCCGGCCCAGTTCGTGAGAGAACGGGGACATGGCATTACTCACCCTTGATCCTATTTCATACGAAAGCACCTCTCTTCCACTGTAGACTTCCCGATCCTGTGAACAAGAATATTGCTGCATTTCGGAAACCTACCGACACTCCATCCAGTATTCTACCAATTAATCCTTCAATATGGGGATTTATATCACCGACCTTACCGAGGCAGACATCCCAGGTGCAGTGGAGGCAGTGCAGTAAGTATGGAACGTATCGTCTAGCCGTAAAGTTGCTTACTTTATAGACAAGCTTTTGTTGGAGATCCTTATAACGTATGGGTTTATGACCAAGCGAAAGTGAGTGAAGGTCACAAAATGAACACTTTTACAATCGTACTCAATACTGACTCTTGTCCAAGTTCGACCGCCAGCGGAATTTTGAGTCTCTTGCCATTCGAATGAGGTGGGGAATGCGCAATGGGATCTTTCACGTTGCCAAAGAAGAAAACAGTGATAAAGTGCTGGGCGTGGCTATGTGGTTACGTCCCCAACCAGCAGATCAGCCTTCAACATGGAGTGACTGGTTTGAGAGCTGGAGACTATACCTTGGACAAATACAGATGAATCTGTGGTATGGCCGTGGAGGATTGAATGTCAAGGTATTTTATCCAAAATCGTGTCGAATACGAGGAGTTGCTGACCAAGACCAGCGATATTATATCTGGAAGGATGCCCAAGCCAGCGCCCAATCGACTCTCTGGACAGATCCTCGGGGCTACTACTTTCTGAACATCATGGTTGTAGTCCCTGAGGCTCAAGGTAAAGGAGTCGGGGCCAAGTTGATGAAGGCTGTTACAGACGAAGCCGATGCTAAGAACATGAGATGCTACTTAGAGTCAAGCCGCGATGTCCCGAACATAGCTATCTACGGACGTCTAGGGTTCAAGTTCCAGAAGGAAATGGTTTGCGATGATGATGGCGATGCAATTAAGTTATTCACAATGATAAGAGAACCACATGCTGAGCCATCCAGCGGGAGGTAGACCTCAAGTGTTGGATGGCAAAAGTACATAGGAACCAGCCTTTTAATACAGCATGACCATATCTTGTCTTTATTTGGCTTCTAGTGCCTGTGAGCTTTCCTCTGGTTCCATTCTTTACCTGCCGAAGACAAGGACTGCTGGAACAAAATAACTAGAATTACGGAATAACAACAAACACACAACTCGGGGGTGGTGCAACTGTCGATGCTACTGCATCACTGCGCATACCAGGCACAGCTCATCAGGCTAACTTTAACACTGCTTTGAAGTTCATAATCATGGTCATTGCCAGTAGCAACGTATAGTATCACTACCAGAAGCTGTCGGTGATACAGCAGGTAAAGATGCAGCGCTGCTATGGTAACATCGTTGAGGCAAGTCTTGACACCTTCAGTTCTTCAGATCATATTTCTTGCTGTGTGAGCAGCTCCGCAATTGGCATTTTCGAGGAAGGATCGCAGTGCCGCCATCTCGTCAGTCTGAATTGCGGAGAAGCCGGCCCGGAGCAGCCGTCCCCAGACCTTGTTGGGATCCTCCAATGCAGCGCTGTCAGTAAAGCCTGAAGAGGCGACATTATCTAGTGTATTGACCCAGAGCGTGATGCCGGCGTCATGGAATTACTGCTTCATTGCATCGACTTGGGATAGGTTTCGAAACGAGGCCTCGCAGATCAAGGGCTTCAGCTCAAGAGCAAGCCTTGCCTGTCCTCGCCAGTCATCATGCTCCAGATGTGTACGAGCGATGAATGGGACGTCATGCACAGTGATATTGGCCTTGATCCAAGCTAGATCATGTTCCGTCTTTAGGTCAGCCCAGAAATCCACCTGCTTTTCGACACCCATCTTCTGTGCACAGGCCAGCACTTCTGGGATGGCATGGCGATGCTTGATGTCGAGGTGGATGAAAATCTTGTCGTGGGTGAGTTCAAAGACGTCTCGCAGGCTGGGCAGTTTCTCCTCGGTGAATGGACTATTCGGACCGCCATCGCGGTTCCTCAGTGGAAGCGATATCAGTTCTTTTAAAGTCAACTCTTCGGGCTTCTTGTCGATGCTGGCCATGCGTTCTAGTGTATCATCGTGCAGCAGTACGAATTCGCCATCAGCGGTACGACGTACGTCTATCTCGACAACATCGTAGCCAGCTTCAATGGCGCGGCGGATGGAAAGCAAGCTATTCTCAGGAGCTTCATTCCATATGCCGCGATGGGCGATGATTGCGCACTGGCGATGAGGATCGGTTATATACTCGAAATAGTTCATTTCTTTTGCGTCTTTTGTATGAGTTTTTTCCAATAACTCAAATACAACCTCAGCTACGAAGAGTCGGTGAGGTCGTGAGAAGCATCCAAATGGCTACCTGCTTATTCGTGGCTGCTCCCTAACTTTGCGCTGTCGTAGTCTTGGTGGGTCATGGAAGACCAAGCAAGGTTGACCCTGGGCTGCTTCCTCTTAAAAGTTTCCAACAGCCACTCACTCAACTCAAGGCCTGAAATTCCTCGAGTATAGATGGGTCTTTTGTCCGTCGCGACACGCCATTCTAACATCAACCAGAGATTTAAAAGTCTCCTGGGGCTTGCAGACCAACTACCATCATTGTATCCACAAAGCCGTGGAGTGCCGTCTTCAACAGTACCCAGTGACTTCAGCAAGCCACCACTTGCAATATCAACCGCAACTCCCATGAACCAAACAATGGTATTAATCAAGAGTTGTTGCAATTGAGGATCGCTCTGAGACTGTTTAAAGTCTTGGCTATGAGCGAATTGTCGCTATGCTTTGTCATACCAGGAACCATGACTATACTGAGACGAAGATGAATTGGCGAGAATGCTTGCTCTACCTAAGGTGTTGGGTTATGTTTCGTTTAGATTAGACTTATATTTCTAAAGCGCTCTCAGCAAAGGCAAAGGGGAACGCTCAATCACAGTAATAGTAATCAAGTTACAGTATGGGATGAAAAGTGTGAAGGATGCTGAACGACGTCTATTATATTCCCATATTCTAAATGCCAGCATAACGCAAGAAGCCACTGAAGTTCTCATCAATACAAGACTAGGTATGCGCTGGAGTAAAGCCCTCAAGATTCCTTCTTGGAAGCAGCGGCGGCAGCAACTCTCCTCTTCTTAGCCAAAGTGTTGAAAAAGGTTCCGAGGCAAAACCCAACCAAGCTAAAGAAAGGAGCCCATGCCTCTTTTGGCACGAACAAGTTTGCAATTGTGATCAAGATTGGATGCATGGCGCACATAGCTTTCGTCATGGGCACCAAACCGGCGCGAACTGCAGCGCGAGCCTGTTCAGTCGTACGCGCGCCAGCAATAACGGCCATTGATGTGAGATACACAGTATTTTGAATGGGGAAGAACTGTAAGAAGTAAGGTAAGTCTCTGACAGGAATTGGTGGGGCAGCTAGAGAATCTACTTACCAAGAACATAGTAATGAGGTTTTGTAAGATTACTCGTCCCGGCAGACTCCGCTGTAGAGTCGTGTTGAGAAAGTGGGTCAGTGGTGCAGCGATACAAGCACCATAAAACGCCATTTGGGGGACACGGGAAGTAATCGTTGGGCCATGGCCAGGGAGCCCATAGGCAAACCACGAGGCTATAATCTCAGTCAAGGCTGACAAAGACCCTTGAGTAAGCATCTTTGTCCTCAGGGGCTTTGACTGTAATTGTTGAAGGTACGCCTATATTGAAAATGTGAGTATTATATACCGAGGCAAGAAATAGATAAAACATACAGCCAAGAGCGCTTTTGCGTCAATCGCAGCTTTGCCATTTGGCGTGTCTATTAACGATGACATTTTCCCGGCGTGACTTGTCTCTTTCTGGGGTGCAAGTGGGTGTGAGATTGGATAAGATAGAGGCGGTTGAGAAATGTAAAGTTGTCTTTGTTTGATGACGGATAGGAGAAAAACAAAGATGCCTGAGGCAAAACATCCTCATTAGCCGTGCACATCAGCCGGCGCCTCGGTCCGAGCTCCCCAGACCCGCTTCCCCTCTTATCAGAATATTAGTGACATACTGGGAATAACAGTAAAGCAAGAGCTATTTCCAGCTAACCTAAACCTGAAGTTCACAAGACAGTATAAAATGCCAATTAATAGTATTATTGGAATGCTGATCTTTAGACTATAATATTATAAATTTAGCAATAAACGCAATAATTTAAATCATAAGACATAGCTAAAGAATGCAAAGCAGTAGACTGTGACTTGAATAATCAGAAGCATCAGAAAATCAAAATAATCTATCTAAATAAATAGAAGATAGTCTTGGAAATAAAACAAATACTCAGTTTTCTCTAGGCACTAATGGATACAATTTTATAAATTCTACTTAAAAAAGATTCCACGTAGGGTATAACAGAGAAACATAAATAATAGCCACTTGGGTATCATGACGATAGATGCCACCACTGGCATTTATCGCATTCCTGCTCGTTGTGGCGATGCAGATAATGTTACGGCATGCGACCTCCTGACCCCTGACAAATGATTATTGTCTACAGTGAGGGAATTGACATTAGAGAGCAAATTGGTAACCTCCTCAGAAGCATGTTTAAAGAGGTTGACCACGTGGAGAAGGACAGCGAATAGGCTTATGTATTAGAGCTAAAGTATTTTAATAAACAGTATACACGCGATCCATTTTATCGTTACGACCCGTCTCAAATTTAAATGCAGATACGCTTAATACAGAGCTCTTAGAACCACTGCCCTTGTATATAGGAAAGATGGGAATGACCTGGCCATTCAGGCCAGACTACTAAAGACGGATCACGATTGGCGACGTACTTATTTAAGCTGCTGTTATGTCCAAAGACTCTCAGAGGAGACACGTTCTCAAGACACTGCAATGGGAGTCGCTCACACGGGTTGCTAATAAAGATATATAGCTCGCTATAAGTTATCAAAACCCAGAATACCAAGGGTTTAATAAACCCGGCGGTGGTCAAGATCAGCCCACAGCAAAGCTAGGCTCTGGTAATTCCTTTAAGTTAACTATCCGGCAAAGAATTATGTAAGAACTAATTATAACATATCTTACTTTGGTGCGTTTTTATTTGTTGTGACGGTTGAGGAGACCGATGCACTGAAGACAACTCAAATCCGGCCCAACATGATGCTCAGCAACTAGGGGGTAAACTCATAGATGCTCAAAAAGCTGCTTGGCAAGTGCTGTTGCGTCGAAAGGCAATGTAGAATAGCCGACAGGGACGGAAATAACAAGGCAGACGGAGATGGTATTGGTCCAAGTAGCACAATGCACTTATGAAAATCCATGGTTTGGCGACTGCTTCTGGATCCACTTTCAAGCTTGAAGGGCCGTTTGTAAAGGATGAAAGCCTTCATCTGCTCGATTAGAGACGAAAGTTATCGTTTTTAAATGGCATCGATTCACCAAGGGCGAAGGTATTGCTGATGTTGCACTGATCCAGACGGTTTGCAGTAGCAGAATAAAACCACTTAAGGCGATAGCCAAGACGTAATTAGTTGCAAGGGTTATTGCCGCTGGTACAGCCTCGACGACGGAAGCTCAAACGCCTGAGAAACTAAATGAGTTATTGAATGACTTCACATTTACATCTGTCGGAGCAAAGCTGGTGTTGCAAAAGAATATTAGCCGGCTTGATTTATATGGTGCACTTTGTTTATATTTAACTAATCCCCGAGCCCCTTATATCATTATATGCATTATCTGATGCCGGAATAACTATAAGTCGAGTGCTGTAGTCACTTCTGTTGAAATGAAGGCTTCCGACTTGATCGACGAGAAGCAGGCTCACACCGAAATTCGCCCCGCGAACGGTAACATGGCCATCGTTGAAACGTCTTGTCTTATAATCTAGTGGTCTGTGATGACCAAGGTAAGTATGCCGCCTTCCCATCACCCTCTGAGAACCAGTAAATCCACCCCTCTGGGGGCAAGAAAGCTTCTGACATTTAATCAGGGTGCCAAAAACAACCAATCTAAAGGACCACTGAGTTATAATAAACTTACCTAAGTCTTTCTGTCACTTAGGATAAAGGTCCTGAGTTTTCTTGCCTCCCCCAGCCACCGTACATTGAGACTGCACTAGGTACTTCTCGTTCCAGCGGCCACTCAGGGCCAGTACTGTAGAGACTGGGGTGTGTGATTAAAACTTGCACTACGTAGACGGCTGGCACACCAGCAAATTCACGACCAACAGCACTACCGGTATTAATCCTTTCGCTTAAGGACAGATCAATTACTAAACCATGCGCCAACAATTGCACTATTATGCCGATTTGCCGGGTGGCACGCCAGTAGCCAATGTGAGGGTCGAGACCATGTGAGAGGAGTTAGAGTCTCCCCACGATTGGTGGGCATTACCCATGCTTCCCCATGGGGAGCCAGGGTGCGGGGAAGAGTCCTCCCTCGCACGGATTACCGGCATCATAGTCCACCCAATATCAGGAGCTGATCACACCTGGTTGGCTTGCTATAGCCAAGGTTGTCTTAAATGGGAGATTCCTAGCTAACCTCTCTATACACAAGGTGAGTCGTGAGGGGAAGGTAGCTCTGAAATTCGGTAAAAGGATCGGCAGTTACATTACTTACTTATTAAATATGCGAGGCTTCCAATATGTCAGTTGGTATCAAGTTCAAGAGGTCAGGGATTCTGATCATTGTTTTATACTTTATCTACATAGCAGTGGCAGAGGGAAAGTGGTAGAATCACCATGGAGATGAATTCTAATAACGAGGTATAATATTTCTACGAACTCGTCTGCAGCCTGCATGCTAATGCCTGTCTCAGGAGATCCATGCTATTGAGGCAGAGCTCCATACAGAAATTCTACCTGGCACAGAGATCATGAGAGATGTTGCTTCGCACCATTTTGTCAAAGATCGCTCGGGTTCTAATCGTGTGCTTATTCCGCAACCTTCAGACGACCCGGCTGACCCTCTCAACTGGTCACTCACATGGAAAATGCTAGCCATCACTGGGGCCAGTATGACCTCATTTTTCCAAGGCTTTGGGCCCTTGTCTCTGGCACCTATGTTCCCAGACTACATTGAAGCGTTTCACTGCAGCCTAGCAGATGCTGTGCAGTTCACTGGAGTGTGTATCTTGGTGCTGGGCTTCAGCAACTTCATATGGTAAGTCCATGTCCTCCAAAGGCGAGAGAGCCAATTCCAAACCAAGACGTATCACTAAGACCCGTGTGATAGGGTTCCATTAAGCACTTCCTTTGGCAGGCGACCGGTATACATTGCTTCCAACTTGATTTGCGTGGCCTCGATGATATGGAGAGCCCGTGCGCAGACTTATGGTAGTTTCATGGGAGCATGTGTGTACGTTTTCACGAGCAAGAGTTGACAGAACACCTTCTTACTGTGATATAGGCTTAATGGTATTGGTGCTGGTCCTGCAGAGTCGATTCAACCTGCCGTTATTGCTGGTGAGCCAACATGCTGATGTTATTAAAGTATACACATCCCTTGTCATAGATCTAATTGCTTGTTAGATATCTTTTTCTTACATGACAGAGGCAAATGGAACACTCTGTACTGGGTTGTCTACATGGGATCATTGATGATTGGCCCCATTATCGGCGGTTCCATGGCTCTCAACGTCGGGTGGCGTAATTTCTGGTGGTTCAACGTGGCCCTGGGTGCAGTTGTGCTGATTTATATCATCTTCTTATTCCCAGAGACCAAGTTCGTCTTTCGCCCTACTTGAAGTTGCTGAAAACCAACTGACAACTCTCAGGTGGCACCGTCCTCATCCCAACGAGATCATTGAGGAAACCAAAGCGAACAACGAGAAGATCGAGAGTTCGGCCAATTGCAACCATGCTGAGACCTCCCGGCCTAATAATGATAGCATCGAAGAACATGCTACTAACACCGGCAAAGAGGAAGCAACCCCCGATAGACTTGCCGATCTATCAACAAGCGAGACGGCTGAAAGAGATCCATATCTAGGCCGGGGCAAGCCTGCAAAGTGGCAATTCCGAGTCTTCCAACCCAATCCACATCCTTTCAAGGCTATTCTTCTGGATCTATGGATCCCTTGGAAGCTGTTTGCATTTCCCATCGTTCAGTTTGCCAGCTTTGTTGTCTCTTGGAGCTGCTCTTCCTTCCTGACCATCAATCTAACTCAAAGCCAAGTACTTGCCGCGCCACCTTACAACTTCTCCACTCAGACCATCGGGTTCACCAATTTCGCTATCTTTGCCGGAGCTCTCATCGGCCTAGCCACTGGTGGTCCTCTATCTGACTGGGTGGCTGCTAAGCTCACCGCAAGAAATAATGGTGTTCGCGAGCCAGAGATGAGGTTGCTTGCCATGATTCCATTTGTTCTTATTATGTACCTTGGGAACATCATCGTCTCGGTTGGATACGAGAACCATTGGCCATGGGAAGTCATTGTACTTATTGGATATTCTTGCGCAGGTATCCAAGTTGCGGCCCTCCCCAGCATTTCAAGCACATATGCTGTTGACAGTTATAAGCCTGTTGCTGGCAGCTTATTTGTCAGTATCACAGTTAACAAAAATGTTTGGGGATATGGATTTAGTAAATTCATTACCCCTTGGAGCATCAAGGCTGGGTAAGTTAATCACCAGGGCTTTCATCTAACTGTTACTAATTCTTTCAGTTTTATCCCACCTATCATGACCAATGGAAGCTTGGTTTTTCTCTGGTGTCTATTTGGTGTGGTATTCTACTACTACGGCAAAACATTCCGTCGTTGGACTAAGAATAGTAGTGTCCATAGCCTGTAGAGCTTGGCCTACAGATATCATACTACTATAAGTATGTTAGTGGGGTGTGAAATGTACTTCTATTTCTCTGGAAACTCTGCTACTGAAGGTTAATGGTTAATATAATGTCATTGAACAGACAGAATAGTTGGGCAACGATGGCCAAGAATGGTTTCACCTCTCAAGTCCCGAGAAGCTATTGCTAGAAGATTCTAACCTCTTTATTTAGAAGAATATTCAGCAGTGCTGAAGTTATATAAGAACACCTTATTGTCAACTCTGACCCAGGCTTCATCAGGCAAGCTTAGCTCTTAGCTAATGTCAACTCAATGTAACACATATAAGTCCTTGAACGTCTACAGCGAGAACCGCCATTTATTTCCTTCACCTGCCGCTTCTCCTCCTTCTTCTAACTGCGCCTTGGAGGCAAGTTTCCTATTCAACCAGAGATACTGCGCATTGGAGCCAATCGCAAATACCAAAGCAATAGATGCCAGGGTGAGAATGACGGTAAATCCTGTCCTGTACAGTGGCGCATCATGTGCTTGGAAAATCTGAGCACCCGCCAAACCAGCCGCGTTGGCAGTCATGATGAGTAAAGCCATCGTGATGGACCGCTCTGCAGGATTACGAATGTTGACGGCAAGCCAGGACCCGTTCAAAGGATGAGCCACAGATCCCCACAGCGTGGTACAAGTAAGGATGCCGTATTTGAGATCGCGGTTCGTGCTTGTGGCCAATTGTCTAGTCGCGAGGCAGAATGCGAAACTCAGGACTGTAGCGAGAAGAATCAGAAAACCTCGCCTTTGACTCTTGTCTGCGATCCATCCAAATGACAGATTCAGCACGATGACAATCCAACTACCAACTGAAGACAATGCGTTTGCCTGAAGACGATCGTAGCCGTAGCTTGCAATGATGGATGGTTGATACGTCCCGAGTGGCGAGATAATGGCGATGCAGCAGAAAGAGACAGTCAGCTGCGGGTAGATGTACCACCGACAGAAAGCTGACTTGATGTCGACCCATTTGACATATTTGTGTCTCGGACCTTGGGTAGGGTTGTCGATGGCAACGCGATTGGTGAGGATGTGGATTTCTCGTGATGAAAAGTACAAGTGACCGACAATGTTTGACGGGTTTGCGGGTGAGTTGGGCATGAGAAAGGCGAAAACAATACCGACCACTATCGTGATGATACCCTCAATAAGGAACATCCACTGCCAACCGGACAGTCCAGCTACGCCTCTCATCTGAAGAATACCATAGGCAATGAGACCACTTGCCGCTGAAGCAATCATGTTGCCGAGGAAGAAGGCAGTGAAGCGCCTACTAGTCTCGTTACGTTTGTACCACTGCGTCAGAGTGTACAAGCCAGCAGGAATGAAGCCGGCTTCCAAAAGACCGAGCAACAGTCTAGTAGCATAATATGCACCAACGCCTTTTCCTTTTATGAATGCTTGAAACGTGGCGACCAGGCCCCAGCAAAAGATCTGGCAGCTGATCCATTTCTGAGGACCTAGACGATAGAGGACAAGGTTGCTCGGCAGCTCTAGTAGTACGATTCCGAGACTGAGGAGCTGGTTTCCGATGTTGAACTGGAATTGGGTGATGCCCACTTCAGCGAGGAAGAAGTCTGTGAGGGCGTTGCCGATGTTGCCACGGTCGAGCTGCAGGACGAAGAAGCCGGCGATGAGCAGAGGCATGATAAGGAGATCGAGCTTACGGACGACGGCTCGTTCTTCGGTGTCAGACCAATCAATGAGGGGGCGCTGATCGGGGCCATTGGACTCTTTGTCTGGACCCGAACTGCAGTCATCCACAGTGGATGCAAGTGGTTCTTTGTCGATCATTATGTTTGAGAATGTAATTAGAAAGACAAGATGATTCTGGGTAGGCAAGCCGCAATCTTGTGCAGTCTTTCAGGGCCTTAAATAGAGAGCATATAATATGTAATTCTCGCCACAGCTTTTCTTACATCTCGCAATAAAGATGCGGTATTTCGCAATACTCAAACTTCCAGTCTATCGCACTTACGTCTTCGCCAATTTTACATTAACTGAGTCCAATGGTCTATAATATCCTGCAACAGTGGAAGTCGCTGCGTTGTCGAATCGAATGCACCAATGAAGCCATGATCCGAGCGACAGCCCGGTCTTTTTGACTTGCTTAGCCTTATCGCGAATGAGGGTTAGCTTCAATCTGTCAGACGCCATTGACATGTGAATCTTGCGTGCTTGGAAATATTGAATCTGGAACCAATGGCAGCATCATCCGAGGCACACTAAAAGCTGGAGTTAGTGGGGGCTCTGCTCCATTAGCAGCTGCATTCTAATCACGACAAATATCCCAGGTGCCTAGGGTGGTTACTTGTCGGGTTCATGCGGAGCGCGTCTACTAACCGTGATGCAAGTAAAAACAAATCTTATGTCTTACGTATATAATAACACATCACCTTACTCCCACTCTAATAGCAGAGTCCATTCACTTTTTCTCCGCCTTTTAATTCTCGAATTGCTCTGGCATTTATTTTGCAATCATGGTTGTTGCCAAAAGACCCAATTTCCTTATCATCGTCGCAGATGACCTTGGCTTCAGTGATATCAAGCCATATGGCTCCGAGATAGACACCCCTGTCTTAGATCGCCTCTCCAAAGATGGCATACGCATGACCAACTTCCATACCGCCCAGGCATGCTCACCTACACGAGCAATGCTTCTCTCTGGAACAGACAACCACATCGCTGGACTTGGCCAGATGGCCGAGTTTGCTGAGATGAAAAAGAACCTAACTGGAAAGTATCCTGACTACGTCGATAAGCCTGGCTACGAAGGCTACCTCAACTGGAAAGTGGCTGCTCTGCCTGAGATTCTTTCTGACGCGGGATACCTAACTCTCATGTCTGGAAAGTGGCATCTGGGGATGACTCCCGACGTGTCGCCGAGTGCAAGGGGCTTCAAGAAGAGTTTTGGTTTCTTGCCTGGTTGTGGCAACCACTTCAATTACGAACCACAGTTCGAGGCGGATCAAGATACAATGCTTTTGACGTCTGATGGCTTTTGGATGGAGAATAAAAGTCCGGTGGATAGAAAGAAAGACTTGCCTGGAGACTTTTATTCAACAAACTTTTTTACGGATAAGTTGATTGACATGTTAGGGAACAGGACCAAAGAGGAAAAGGAGCAGCCGTTCTTCTCGTATTTGGCTTATACGGCGCCACACTGGCCAATGCAAGCGCCACAAGATGTTATAAACAAATACAGTAAGCTCTCCGCCTATGCCATAAAGCTTCCTTACTGATGAATCCAGGTGGAAAATACGACAATGGCCCAGACCAGCTGAGACTAGACAGGCTGGTAAAATTGAAAGAGTTAGGTCTCGTGCCATCTGATGTTGAAGCAGCTCCTCCTGTTGGTTTCGAAGCCGGTGTGAAGTGGGAAGATCTCACTGATCACGAGCGAGCTGTTTCTGCAAGGAAGATGGAGGTCTATGCAGCCATGGTTGATCTCCTTGACCAGAACATTGGGAGAATCGTCGACGCACTTGAAGCATCAGGTGAACTTGACAATACTTTCATCTTGTTTATGTCAGACAATGGCGCAGAAGGATCTACGTTGGAAGCTGCACCAGTTTGTAACCTTTATCCATTTAATGCAGAAGTTGATACTAACTGTGAGAATTAGCTCTTGTCGTCGTTCAAGACACTTGGCGAACTGATAGCTGCATACTATGACAACAGCCTCAAGAATATCGGAAATCACGACTCGTATGTCTGGTATGGCTCTCGGTGGGCGTGTGCAGCTACTGCGCCTTCTCGTGGGTTTAAGGGATGGTCAACTGAGGGCGGCATTCGCTGTCCATGCCTTATACGCTTCCCTCCAATCTCATCGGCTCCCGAGACTATTTCCCCTGCCTTCACGACAGTAATGGATATATTGCCCACCATCCTCGATCTCGCACAGGTGCAGCACCCAGGGAAGTCCTTCAGGGGTCGAGAAGTTGTCATTCCTCGAGGAAAGTCCTGGGTTAGCCATCTCTCATCTCCTACAGAGTATCCAGCCGTTCACCAGGATGCGGATCACATCCATGGCTGGGAGTTATTCGGCAATCGTGCCATACGCAGAGGAAATTGGAAGGCAGTGTTGTTGGCAAAGCAAGGTGGAGATGGTTGGGAGCTGTTTGATGTAGAGAAGGATCCGGCTGAACAACATGATCTGTCAAAGAAGAGGCCTGAGATTTTGGAAGAAATGCTTGTGCATTGGGCTACGTATGTTGCTGAGACGGGGTTAGTGGAAGACGCGTTCTGAGAGATGGATTGCGTGATTGAGGCCCACAGTGGCGTTGAGGGCCGTGGACCAGATCCCTTATTACCGCCCGACCCTAGGAATCAGAGTAGTAATGTTATGACCTGTTGATTCCATTTAAATCCCTCGAAATGACCTATAAAAAGACACGGACTGGCTGCCTGGAGTGCAAGTCGAGAAAAGTCAAGGTAATGACCGACATGGACTAAGTGAGATGAATGATCGCTTACAGCCGCTTTAGTGTGACGAAGCGATTCCATGTACAGCCTGCATACGCCGTAGCTCAACATGCAGCCTCATAACCCAAGAAAAATCACCTCGGAGCAGGACGCAGTCACCAAATAACAAGGCCTCGGCACCAAACATCGCTATCACTCATTTCCAACGAATCGCTCCATCTCCTACAGATGGCCTCGCGGCACATGATAGAGAGCTGCTATGCCACTGGCATCATGTTGCTTACAAGGCCATTGTCCATCAGCGAGGGTCAGAGGATCTTTGGCAGCATGAAGTAATTCACCTCGCCTTTGATCACCCAGTTATCTTGAACCTCGTACTGGCTATATCTTCGTTTGAACAAGCGCATACTGCACATCAATCACAAATAAACGCACCAGGACATCGAATACGACGGGATATATACGCCTCTCTAGGATTTAAGTATTCTCAAGCCGCCGCAGGGATGATGAGACATGCAGTAGCGAAAGCTAATCTCAACAACGGCCCCATGTGCCATCTTGCCTCAGTTCTCATGATGATTAACTCTTATGCCCAAGGCTCACTAAAAGAACTTGTACGGGTAAAGGACGAGCCTCCCACCATGCTGAGCGACATACTCGTCACTTGCAGGCTCACGAGGGGCGTCAGGGCTATTGCAGACGCTTATGGCGTTATACGGCCGGATCGTCACGAGCTTATACTCTATGTCACTGAGGCTGAACCACCAGACCATGGGCCTCTCGATCCAGTCCTTGACATCCTTAATTCTTTGACATTCCTAGAGCAAGAAGAGGATCCACTCATCAGACAAATCTGTCAGGATGCTCTGGATCTAATGAAGTGGTTGGTGAAAAAAGCGCAGACATCAGAGTGGTGCCCGGCACATAGAGCATCGCTGCAATGGATTTGCTTAGTTGGGAAAGACTTCATAAGGCTTGTTGAAGCCCATGAGCCTGCGGCTCTCGTGTTGTTCTCGTATGGCTGCTTCTTGGATAATGGTAATAGTGGTAATACCTTTGTAATGAGAGGATGGAAAGAGGGTGTTTGTGCTGAGATTCGAGATATTGTTGGTTCAGAATGGGCAAGGGCTATGTTATTGTAACTATAAACATTTCTAGGGGATTTAATAACAGCCTTGGACGTATTTGCAAATTTCGGCATTATGAATACTCTAAATAGCACTATTCTTATTATTAGAGCCAAGCCCGCCCATCTGACAACCGCGTTAGTGCTGGCTCACTACGGGTTGAGACTAGTTATCCTGGGGAGGAATCAGGGGCCTGCCGGGTAAGTACAATTGAGCCAAGTTGCAGACTCAGCTGAGGTGAAATTGACAGGCGCTTGATAGTCAAAGCTTGGGTTTGCGATTTGCTGATGTGACGCCAAGAGGTAATTAAACTAAATGGGCCAATACTGCTAAGCGACCTTAAACTATTGACACTAGCGCTACATAAAAACCTCAGCCTCAGCCAAAGCTCCATTTTTCCAAAAGAAATACAGAATACATTGATCTGGTTTGTCCTTACATTCTTGCCCCTGACTTGGCGTAAAAAGAAAAGGCAACTTAAAGCATAGTGGGCTCTGTATGTTTAGCTTGTCAAAGAGGAGATGTTTGCTGTATAAATACCCGTCCCATCCCTTCCTTCTGTTAACCTTTTTGCTCTACTCCTCCTCGAGCCTAGTACTTATCCAAAATGAAAGCTCAAAATATCCTCGTTCCCCTGGCTGTCCTGCTCGCAACAGGTGTTCAGGCCAGCCCATGCAAACCATCGTCGAGTATAACATCCACCTCTGGTGAAATCAATGCCACCACAGCCACCAAGACTACTGCTGCTTCCACGACCACCACCGATGAGAATGCTACCACAGCCACTTCGACTGCCGCTACTTCTACGGCCATCACCGATGAGGCCACAACTGAGCTCGAGACATCTTCTGTTGAGCTCACTTTAAGCACTGAAACAACCACTGCTGCCGAAACAACCACTGCTGCCACCACAACCGCAAGCCCCGGCTTGACCTATCAATGCCCCGGTGGCTTCCCATCTGGGCCCAAGTGCGGCGTCAAGGAACAACAAACCGGTTCAGGAGTAACCTATCTTGGTGTTCAGATTGGCTCATTCACGCTAGACGAATGCGTGCAATTCTGCATTGACACGCCCAACTGCGATTACTTTGCCAAGCAAGACCTTCCAAACGATGGATTCTGTGAGTTCTGGAGCGGAACGTTTGCCAGTCAGGGTTACCAGCAACCTTGGGCTTGGTATGAGATGGATTGCTTTTGTAATCTCCCTGTAGAGAACTTGGCCACTACAACAAGCATTGCTCCTCCTTAAGGAAATACCTTATAAGTTGTTTAGTTAGGATAATCCCCTGTCTAAAGTTAATCTTCGTATAATAAAGCTGAGTATTGTACTTTCCACTGCCTAATCTGGTGGCAAGCGAAGCCCTCTTTAGCGGCTTTGGCCATCAGCAGCTCGTGTCAGCAGCAACACCACCAAGACTCTAACAGAGAGGGACCAGGAAATCTCAATAGAATAACAAGTACGCTTGACTACATCAAGAATCTTGGAGCGAACTTGCTTTGGATCTGTCCTATGTACAAGTTCCCTTGGTCTGATTATGGCTACTAAGTTCTGTGGGGTGATAATATCCTCTCAGCCACGACATTGCAGACTGTGACACAGTGGCAGATGTCTTTAAGACGGACGACGATCTTTATACCCTTATCGGTGAGGCCAAGGAAAAGAATATTGGCGTCCTTATCGGTCTGGTTATTAATTATATATTAAACAAGCATGAATGGTTCTAAAAGCGTTAAAAGACCTAAGGAGCAAGTACTAATTATATCAGGTTTAACACAAAATATTTATTCAACTTTTATAGTAAAGAATAATATTAGCAAGGAAAATTAATATTATATAAAGTAAATATACTATATACTTACTTTTAAAAATATATATAAAGAGCAGTTTGTGTATAAAGTAGTAGGGCCAGGTATTATTTGCATGCAATTTAACTCTAATTACCTATAAAAAGTAGAATAAATAAACAAACAACAAACAAATAAATTTATTCCACCTATGAGGTTCAGCCTGAAGCAGCGCAACATCAATTACTCAGACGTTGTACTTCTTATTCAGTTCGCGAAGAGTATCAATCAACTCAACCTTCCCCGTTATAGTCTTCTCATCATAGCCATATTCCTCCGCAATTAGTCCGCCAGGTAAAGATGCTTCTATAATCTCCATAAAGTCCGGAATGCAGTGCTCTGGGAAAAGCTGCCCAAGTAAAGCTCTCAAGTCTTTGCCTTGGGCAAGTACAAGCTCAACCTTTTTCCCGGTCACCTCCTCAAAGGCATCCCTCAGATCGTTTGAGCTGTACGGACGAGGGCCAAATATCTTAAGACACTGCAAGTTGGGATTTCCAGAGTCTGTAAGTAGATGCTTGGCGCATGCTTCGCCAATATCCGTGATACTGACCATTGGAATTTTATAATCTCCTGGGGCAATCCAAGAGGCGATGCTTGGAGGGTCCCCTAATGGCGCTTGGAAGATATACTTAAACTCTTCCAGGAAATTGGTACACTGAAGAATGGTGACATCAGGTACAGCGTCTTTGAGTATTTGATCAGTCTCATGGTTAAGGCGTGCGAGGCCCTGTGTTTAAACGTCAGCGACTTGCCAGAGTCTCAAATTCTGCTACTTACAACACCACGATCATGTTGAGATCCTAGACCGGACAAGATGACAAGCCTCTTGACGCTTGCGCGGTGCAACGCGTCTTTGACATTAGTAGCTGTCTGTCTCGCCCAATCGGCCAGGTCCATCTTTTTTTCATATGTCGGCGGTGGCACATACAAGACTGCGTCAGAGCCGGTGAAGTCAAGACCATCTCCACTCTCAACATCTCCTTTGATGGCCTCGAAATTATGGGTGTTGGTGTACTCAGCAGGAGCTTTTGAGGTGTCACGGTAGATGCCGCGAACTAAAGGCTTCTCTGAGGAGGCTAGAAGCCGCCGAATTGTCTCTTTGCCGACTCTGGTCGAGGCGGGGACAACAGTGATATGGGGGGGCATGCTCACAGAATGATATATCGCTACTTTCTGTATGATTCCCTTAACAACTTCTGTCTACAAGCAGCATATAGGCTGGGCGAGGGAGGAGTGCTCGAGTTAAATAATTTGCCACGTCAGCGATCGGGGCATTTCCGACAGCTCTTGAATGAAGGTCTTCAATCTCTGTGTACCCTGTGAGCCTATACTACAGTATTGAGCACTGGCAGCCTCCTCTCCTTAGACTAGGTACTTCGGATACTCAAAGGGACCTGTATCTGTGGGCCCAAATTGCTTACGGGTCGATTATAAGGCTTAATAGTCGAATTCATTACTTACAATGTACACTTATGTACCTCGATGTTCCCCTCTTGGCCCTGAAAGAGAGCATGGTATCATGGAAGGGAGGCTCCAAGTGCTCAATACTGTATCACTTTGGGACAGCTTCTATTGGTCCAGCATTTGAGAGGTGAGCTCACTGGCGTTTTGTGGCTACAGTGGTGCTTTCTTGACAGAAGTTTTAGACACTGGCCACCTTCGCAGTTTTTATAGATACGACTAAAATATCAGTGGCTGAAACATCTGACAATGATCTACGAACACTGGAATGGCGGATACCTTGAGTGCTCCGTTAATCCACGGAAAGGGCAGAGACATATGACGCAGAACTATTGTGACAAGAGCGCCACTAATTTCACTGCTAACCGTGTTTGTATTTTAACCATAATAGTTATAAACTAATTATAAAAGAAAATTTAAACAAGTAGAAAAAGAATAATAAAAAAAATATATGTGTTTTCTAATAAGTATTTAAAAACAAATTAAATGTATAGCTATATTTATTATTTAAGAATTAAATACTACTAAGTAATAATAAAAGTTAAGGTATTATAAGGAAGCAGTTTAAGGTAATAAGTTATTTAAGAGTTAGTTATAGTAATATAATTATACACATACCTTGAAACATAAACAGATAGTTATGTATAAAGCATATCCCTAATATAAACACTAAAAATTCCACAATTAATTTAAAATACACACTTAATAATTATACAATCTGGTTATAAGCTTTCTTGCTATAACAGCTGTTACAAGTATATCCATTTCCGGAATCACTTTTAAAGATATTTTAAACCAGAGCCTTTGACCCTCACGTTCACGCAAGACCAACGTTAGCAACCCTTATTGCAGAAGCCAGGTCATTCTGTTCCACCCCGCCACCCAGTCGGGTACACAATCAACCGTCGCGTACTTGATCTCTGCACTGCCCGGTCGGTAATAGGTGACATCGTTGTCGACCGTCTTCACCTGAATGCTGTCCGTGGCGTACTGCCGGAGTTTGAATTTCTTGCCGTAAACCCAGCCTGCTTCCGCTTGTCTACAATGTACTCCTAGTCGGCCCAAAGAAGATCCATCGTCCTGAGGGCACGTTCGATGAGTACGAGACACGGTGCACCTCAGCACCCCCTGCGTCCTTCAGCACGATTACACCATCACGATTATTCGCAAGGTAGGCCTCGGGCCCAACATCGAAGTCTCTAACGGCGCCCCCTCCACTAATCAGTACGTCTGGCAGCTGCCTCGACCGGCCATCCTGGTTCTGAATGGTCCACCCGGCAAGTGAGATGGGTTCGGCTGCACGGTTAATGAGTCTCACTCTGTCGTTATGCCCAGGCGTATTGTCTGGTCCGTCGGGGTTGACGAGCGCCGAATGAATCCACACGCCGCTCGCCTGTCCAGGAGTCACGGGTGTAGTGGGCGTGACGGGCGGCGGGGCATTAATGAAGTTGCGGAGCATGACCGTTGCGTCGCCACTTGCCGGATTTCCATTGTTGTCTGTTTCAGACGCCTGCCCGGCAAATGCGATAAAAAAGTACTTCCACATGCCATCAGGTGACTGCATGACGATACCACCATCCTGGCCGCGTCCATTCTCACTGTGCCATTCGTGGTTTTGGGAGTAGTTCCCCTGGTTCATGTGTACTTGGTGAATGGATCCGTCGCCGGTGAGCTCTCCCCAGACGAACAGCGTCGACCTCTTGAAGTCGGCCGAGTTGGCTTGAAAGAAGGCATCCAGGTCATCAGTAATATCATTGTTTGGCCCTTCTACGTTTGTATCGCGGATAGTACCAGCACGAATATTCAGGAAGCCATCACGGAAAAAGTCGAGGCGTGGGGGGTTCTGGTAGTAGCCGAACCCGCCAATATTCTCGAGGGCCTGAATAATACGGTGTCCGAATTGCGTCTCGTTTGTCAGCTCGCCAGTCCAGAAGATAAGGCGGTGGTCGATAATGTCTCTAGATCGAACGTTGATCTCAATTTTGTGGCGACCATTGTCATCTGCGAAGCTGAGTGTGCCATGGGGACTCGTAAGGTCCCCGCCTCGAGCTTCACTCGTGTTCCATTTGACGGGTCTGGCCTTCCAGACGACATAAGGGTCACTTAAAGGCATGGCAACGATGTGAGAAAGTGTCAAGGATCTAGTGAGCTGTGCTTAATGATGAGTGTTTGGAGCCAAATGGCCTGGCTTATATACCCTACCGGTTACAACATGGAAGACCGCCGCTCGCCAACGGAGCAGACCTGCGGGGTGATGGCTTAGGCTGCTCAGCAGAGTGATGTCTCACTCTGAACTGAACACTAATAAGACATACACCGTCTCGTATAAGATGCGTCTGACGAAGTGGCTGTCTCATCGTCCGCCACGTACTTCTTTGGAAAGTTTGGGAGGCGGGGTCCCTCCGCAGCTGATGAACGCTCAAGCAGCAGAATATCTTACACTTAGTCTGATTTAGAGTCCAGCCCTTTCGACAATATGTCATCCTTGATGTAAGAATCATGTCATAGACCTGCTTGTCGAGGATTACAAGTCTACCTGTAAATAAGCCAAACTACCACAGTACTGTACCAGGATTAAACATGGTTAAATTACTAACGAATTATTTGCTACATCTATATAGTAAATAACTTATAATTGTAAAATACATAGCTTTATATATAAAGACATTATTACAACAGCATATTTATAAATTTACGAAAGGAAACTAAGAATATAATAATAATAACATAAAAATATAATTTAACTACTTTAATAATAGTTATAAGAGTTAACTTTTATTATTATTCTCTAGATAATGCTTAAATTTAATTAAGAAATTTATAACAATTCCAACCCTGTCCCTCCTTATAATATTAATCCCTATTTATATATTGTCCAAACCGAAACCTTTGACGGCCAGGGCTAAGAACCCACTTAGCGGGATCTATAATCAGCATCTTCAATAATCCATAAAAGTGGATATCGGCAGCGGAGTATCGTGAACTGCACAAGTACTCCTTGCCTTCGAGCTGCTGGTCCAGAAGGTTCAGGAACCTGCTGATAGTGACCTTCTGGATCATGCGAGCCTCGGCAATCGGTTGACAGTTACATCGATATCCAGGGCCGGTAGTTCATCGCAAGGGTTGACGTCCCTACGGTATGTGAGACGCCGATTCTCCATAATCATGGTATCAATGCTTTGGACATCGAGGTCAAGCCCGCCGCGCTCGAGAACGAACAGGCGGACAACGTAGGGGTTGAGGGCTTGTGCGTCGTAGAATTTCATGGTACGTATACGATCCAAGTTTTGGGGAAGGATAAACCTTAGGTTATAAATCAGTAAGGTACCCTTTTACTAACCCTAAGCGACAAGGGGCCATAGCTAAGTCCGTCGGACACGGAACATATACCCATGTCCACTGCTCCTATATTCTCACGTGACGTTTCAGTTTCTTCAGTTTCTTCAAATTGTTCTCACCGATATATAACGAGACACCAATAATCACAAAAGACAATAGCCAGCCATTATTCATTCTCTGCCTCCTCTATTTAATATTTTATATAACCCAATCAAAGCATTTGGATTTCGTCTGCTATTGGTGCAACCAAGAATACCTACCAATATGGCTTTAATGCGTTGTATGAACACCGCTACGTTTGAGCTCCATACCAGTACACAAATTGACTTCAAAGAACAAGGCTACGCCATCCTATCCCACCGATGGGGATCAGACGAGATTCTCTTTTCCCAAATCGGGAATTTTGCTCAAGAAATGAGGGACACCAAAGATCGTCATGGCTTGCCAAAACTTGATAAGATCCTAGGCGCTTGCATCACCGCTCGGAAGCAGGGTCTCCAGTGGATGTGGATTGATAACTGCTGTATCAATAAGTCCGATAGTAGTGAGCTATCTGAATCTATTAATTCCATGTTCAAATGGTATAGCGACGCTGTGGTATGTTTGACATATCTCTCCGACGTACGCAAGAGCTCAGACACCACGGTCGACTCGCAAGTCTTCCGAAGCTTTGAGACCGGTGAGATATCTTTGTGGTTCACGCGTGGATGGACATTGCAAGAGCTTCTCGCACCTGGCGAGTTACTCTTCTACGATACAGACTGGAACTATCTCGGGTCCAAGTGGGAGTTAGCGCAACCAATCGAGGACGTCACTGGTATTGCAGCGCATTATCTTACCAGCGAAAAAGATTTCCGGACCGCCTGTATTGCCGCCAAGATGAGCTGGGCGGCACATCGCGTAACGACACGCGAGGAGGATATGGCGTACAGCCTGTTTGGTATTTTCAATCTTCACTTGCCCGTTCAGTACGGGGAAGGGAAAGGTGCCTTCTTGAGGCTTCAGGACGCTCTGATAGCCAAGAATGATGAATCTCTCTTCGCCTGGAAGATGCCCCTCGAAGGTCCAGGGGTTGCATACCAGATTATACCAGATAGTATGGTAGACCTAGGCCCAGATGAATGGGGCCTTCTAGCTCCTTCGCCGAAATGGTACGAGCATTGTGGAAAGATGACGATACAGCACAAGAAGACGGTAATGAGGCAGCGAGGAGGATTCACCAGAACGCCGCAGGGAATTAGCGGTCCAATTTCCAAGCGGAATCATTATATCACTGCAGTACTGACCGGGTTAACTGTCGTGGGAGCAATCCCTTTCCAGATATGGCTGGCTGTAAGACAGAGGACGACACTTAAATACACACTCAACTGTTGGGAGCCAAATGAGGCTGGCGCAATGAGGGCTGTGCGACTACATTTGCGACCCGTCAGGAGGGATCCCCCGATGTGGATCAGAACCGCTAGTCAAAGCTATGATTTGGTTAAAGGAGCAGCCTCTACTGATTATTCGGCGGTCGGGACGGTCTGGCAACCTCAACTCTTTTGATGGTAGTGCTTTAGCGGCTATATATATACCCGATTCCACGAGGCTAGAATAGACTCCCGGCTACATGCATAATAAACATAAACATACCTTTTCCTAATTTCAGGTACCGTACCATTATGCTTTTGTAATTACCAGTTCTAACTTTATTTTACGTCATAACAAAGTAATTCTAACACAGTGAATTAGAGGTCCGTATAAGCCAATGGACCTAATGCTGCAAGTCTTATAAACATGCTCTGATCACGGCTCCTGTCAAGCAGAGCCAGAGAGGCTTATTACCACTGCTGCAGTATAGGCTCCTATCTAAACTACCAATTTATATATACCATATCCCAGTTATAAGAATATTAACACATGTTCCTTTATTAGGTAACTAGGGCCGCCAGAAACGCAGGCGCCCAGAATGGCAGCACCAGTAAAAGGTCGGGCTCTTGAAAGGCGCTAACACCGACACGCCATGCTGTCAGTCCAGTAGTCATCGCCTGCACTTCAATCACGTTTCAGCTCTAGTATAGGCTTTTAGCTCCACCATTCGACTCTTGTATCTTTGAGGGTATTAGTGCCGCAGTGGACTTCACCTCCATTTACGTGATGGGACATGAAATCGTCAACGAAATGTACCTTTATCCCCGTTTGCCCATACACGTCTCGTACCGCCTGCTCAAGGATATCATGATCATCAACAATTGGACCCCAACGCTTCGCAGTCAAATAATCAGATCCGATGACAACACCGTTGATGGCAGCCGGAAGGAAAGCAATTAGTTGACTCTGTCCAGGAGCGGCCCTGTGCAGGCGCGGGGGAAGTCCATCGAGATTAGATGGCCAAGGATATGTGAAATTCTTAAAGAGAGCGGGGATTCGCAGAACTTCGTTGTGAGGCAATGGTAATTCTTCAAGCAGAAGCTCCAAGTTGTGGTCGATATACTTCTGTACATACTTTTGCGTCTGCAAGAAATCGTCGTCAGACAGAAGCGCGTCGATGGTAAGGTTCTCAAGCCTAGAATCGCAGAAAGAAAAACCTTCCGGTTGGCGGAGATTGGGATAGCTAGTGGCAAGGGTGGAGCCATGACCACTGTCTTGTGCTTTTTTAATGAATTTAATGGAACTTGGGTATCCGCAACAGCCATCGTCCATCCTAGGTCGTTCTGATAAGGCAAGAACTAGACAAATTCATCAACATGTCCAACGACCAGCCAGCCAGTTTCTAGGATGAGGGGAGACTGGTAGATCTGAGCCTCTATAAGGCTCGTCATGGACTTGGCTGGAAGCTTGTCAAAGTGCTTCCCCATGATGACCCTGCCGTGCGTATATGATGTCCCGTTCTTGGATACGTACGGTGGGATAATCTCGATGTTTCCACCCGAGTTAATCTCCTCGTGTCCAAAACCAGACCCCAGCGACGGTTGGTGGCCTCCGACTCTATCACCTCTGAGGCTTTCGAAGACCTGACGTCCAGAAACTCTGATGGATTGCGCACTCTGAACTAGGACCCGTAGTGATATCGGACCTTCTGAACCAGGCATACTGGCGAAGCCGGGCTCTATGAAGTCTTGGGCCCAGATATCGTCGGTCCCGTTGAGTAAGTGAAGGGACGGAGTTTCAGTCACGTTCATTAGCGCGTCATCTGGATGTTGTACGAACTTCTGCTGCATTAGGCTGGAAGTCTCGTTTCCTTTTACGGACAGCACCCTTTGTACACGCTGCAGATGATGGTGGAACAGGACCGGATAGATTTTTATAGTTATATAAAAGGAAATTTATTAATATGTAAAGGGTTAAACACTGCCTTTTTTAATTAAGTAAGGGTATCTTAAAAAAAAGGGCTTTTAGTAATTTAAATTATTTTTCTTACAAGTAGACTTTGAGAATTTGTTTCCATGAACAGGTAGTTGACCTTGCCTACACCCTGATTGGCCCTGGTTGGCCTTGATAGAACAGCTTGTGCAGTGTTTCTAGGCCTGTGATGGGGATTAATGTCAATCTTGGAGTAAACAGCCCGTCAGTATGAATCTTGAGAAGATGGTTCTCGTAGTAGCCACCATGGGTGGACCTCCCAGTGAGCGAAAGGCATGGTAGACCCTCAATTCTGATAGGCCTTATGGCAAAAAGGTATACCTAACTCGACCGAGACCGACCAGTTATCGTTACAGTCTCCAAGGGGCTCCAGAAATGGATTCTTACAAGTCAACATCGCTTTGCAAGCTAAGCGATGTCTCTTATGAATCAAAATAAGGCCCTCCGGATGTACTCGATGTTGATGTGCTCTGGAATGAAGTGCTTGCCTTGTTGTTTGGTTCTGTTGGAAGTATTGGCCGCAGTAGTCAAACACTTGGCCTCGAGAAAACTAAATAATTTAATATGTTGGTTCAAGTGAGCAATAGATACAAAACTTAGAATAGGTTACCTCTGGCGAAATCAACGGGGTCAAGTTGCAATATCCCGCATGTACTAGTTAGGTTAAAGAAACCGTTATACAGAGCAAGCTCTGACCATATAATTGGCCAGAGTTGCAGCTGCCCCCTGATGTGGTTAAAGCTGACGTCAAATCGACTACATCTCTCCATGATGGCTGTTTATGAAAAATAATAAGGGCCAGATTATGGAATAATTTATATAATAAGCAAATAACCTATGCTAATTTGTACTTATAAATAAGATATTTAAAAATCTTTTTAAAATCTAATATAACTTTATAATATCTAAAAACTTAATATAAGGTAAACTTTTAATAATATAATTTATATAATATAAATATTATACTATAAAATATATTATATTTTAAAGCTAAATATTTAGGATATATACCAGTAGTACTTAGAGGCTGTAAAATTCTGATAAATACTAATAGAACGTAGTAGACTCTTATTGGTAACTAAACATAACCATTTCTCCCATTGCGCCTAAACTGAGGGAAGCCTTAGGTACTGAGTTCAGGACCAGTTGTTGCCGACCTGAGTGTGATATCTGTTTGGGTAGCTACAAAGCTTACGTATGTGGCGTCAAATAGTTTGAAAGTATCTTCCGTAAGGGCCACTCCATTCCAATGTCGTCATAACCGTCCACCCCAGACTCACACAAGTAAAATTATGCTCCGATCGCTCAAAACAATGCTCTTGAATGCCGCATTTATTCAGGGATGTCCCATGCTTACTGCTCTTAACTCCCGTTGCGATTGCCCCATAAACAACATACATGGTATATTCCTAAGTCTTCGTTTAACAGTTCGGACCTCTCACATTACGACCCCGACGACTTTCCAGGTAACGCCAGCATTAAGCTTCAGCTGCGTACGAAAGGTGGAAAAAAAAAAGGCCCTATGGCTCGAATGCCACCGATGCATTTGCTTCCGCCTGATGTCGCGGCTCAGAACAAAGGCCCTGCTATGATGGCAGTTATGTATTCATTCACCGCCCTTTCATCCCTCACTGTCGTAGGCAGGGTCTTTTCAAGATATAAGAAGCTCGGTCGCCTAGCCATCGATGACTACGTTATAATTCTGTCTCTTGTGGGTTCCCTGCTCTGTTCTCTATAATGCAATCACCCCAACTCTAGCTACCACGGGCGATAGAACAGGAACAACTTCTGAAGGCTCGATAGGGGTTCGTATTCACCTACGTAGGCTGCTGGACGGCCGCCATTTTAGCCGGTAGCGGCCACCACCAGGCGACTCTGACTGTCGCCGAATTCGATCGTTCTGTATTCTTCCTAATGATCGGCATGGTCCCAGGCGTGCTGTCGCTCGCGCTACCCAAGTTCGCTGTCGTCAATCTACTCATCAAGATCCTCTTCCCATCACCCCGGCACGTCCGGTTGCTTTGGGGCCTCGCAATCGCAAACCTTGTCCTCATGCTCGGCGCCACCGGCTCGATGGACTCTATATGCCCCTGCCAAGTGCCGTAGCTCGACTGCCATAATCGTGTATTCGGTTGTTGTGGGATGTAAGTGGGCCCTTATCCTCGAGAGCGAAGTGAGAGGTGTCCGATATACTAATGTCATGAATCGACAAACGGCAGCATTTTCGGCCGTGGTCGACTTCTACCTTGCTATATACCCAGCGAAAGTACTATGGTCATTACACATTCATCTGAAAAAGAAACTGGCCCTTAGCGTAGCCCTTGGCTTCGGTGCTTGGTTGGTATACTGCCGCGAGCTCCTCCCTGTTAAATCTCGACGCGGACTGAGATCTTGTCTTAGTGCTGGCTGTGCTGCTATACGCAAGGTCACGACAGTTCTAGGTATGGGAGACGGTAGAGATTATACTTGTAAGCTCGTACCCTCCGCATAACAGCACAACATAGGCACCCTTACTGACAAAGTCCTGCGTGGCCAGATGCTTCAGGGAGCCTTGTGATCTGGATAAGGTTTGTAGTCTTCCTGGTGCCATCCTGCATGTTGCCATTGACCTATTCCCATGATCCGCAGTGTCGAAACAAACAGTGTCATAATCGCCGCCTGCATCCCGATGCTCCTGCCCTTCCTTGAACTATTATTTGGGAAGAGATTTTTGTCCGCGCCCCGTCCATCGTCTTTGAGTCGAATAAGTGATGCGAGGCCTGGAAGCAGGACGAGAAATTTCAGGGGAACCAACAAGCCAGTCGAAACACAGAAGCGGAGAACAAGCGACGAGGTGGAAGAACGCGTGGAGGCCGTCCTGCTCCTCGAGGAACCGGGCCAAGATGAGGAAAGCAGCCAGAACCAGACGGCGGACAATATTCGTCAACGTAAGCTACAGCTTACGTAGCATGCTATTATTCCACCTAACTAGCATCGCACAATATGTAAGTCAATATATTACGCAGTCAAAGCGTACTTCGGATTATATATAGATGCGATAGCTATATGGTATCTGTATCTAAGATAGTTTCTAAAGCCAAGAGAGTTAAGAACATATACCGCAAAATATAAAGTGACCACAATGTACGTCCGTAACATCTGTAAAACCCTGAATTAATTGATCTGACCAGCACTGCGTCCATGAAGTTGTCAGCCACCCTCAAGCGAGCCTAAATCTTCTAATTCAGCCTATTTAGTCTGAGATTCAGAGCATGTTCCCTATGTTCATGATTATTGCCTGGGAAAAAGGGGCACAAGCTTAAAAATGGGAGCTACTTACCCCGAACTCCACTCACAATAATACCTCTCTTGCTCGGATTGCGAATTTCATCTGTTTGTTCTGACATGCTCACGCTCCAATGTCATGTAGCGTGATACGCACAAAGGGCAGGCATAATGCCGCCTCAGGTACCATAGAGTAATGCAACCCGAATGAAATATATGCCCGCACAATAACCGACGGACGATATCACTATCCGCTATCGCTTCCAAGCATATAGCGCTATTAAGAATTGTCAACTAAACATGAAACTGCCTATTAGTTTATGTATTCCCTACCAGATGATAACCTCGTGGGGACACGTAGAATGTTCCTCTGAGCCTGTAATTTCCATTCCTGTCATCACTTGCTTGTATGCCTGCGGTGGAGCAGTCGAATCCAACCGCTGCAAATCGCTAATCTCGGAACTTATACTCCTTGCTGGCAGATCGCTCTCGGAATCCCCTTGGATCGGGATCTGGTTGTCCCTAGAGTTAAGTCTTTGCCATACTTAGCTTGTGAAATAGAGGTTTCCAGATTTGTTGGTGGGAGATGGCATACTCGTATATGATAAGAAGACCATAAAATATAAAAAGAAAGACAAAAAAAACAATAATGGGCAGCGATTGGATCCATTCCTCTGACTTGATGCCTCCAGGGCTTATCATAGGGATATGGGATACATTCGCTATCGCCATGATGGTTAACAGTTTCTCAAGGCTTTCTATGCTGACCTTGGGAAGAGCCTGTCGTGTCGGAAGCCTTTATTTAAAGCCATACGCAGCTTGAAAGATATGCTGCCATCAGGCGCACTTGGCGTAAACCTTTTGTGTCAGATCATACCGAAGATTCTGGCCAGTGAACTCGGAATAGTGACCTGATCACACCACTTCAAGCTCCAGAGTGCGACGGAAGCACTAGTATCGGAAAGGAAGCTCCGGCTTTGAGCGCCTATTAGACTAACTCACCGCCACCCCACACACCCCCTATCCCCGCACACTTCAACACCATCAACGCATTATTAACACAGGATTCTTTATTTTATTCTATATTTATTAAATAAAATCCATTTTTCTTTATTTTAATAGCAATAGAATTGCAGCTATTAGATTATAAAAAGAGGATATTATTAGCCATTAAGGATATAGAAATCATTAGTTTGCGGCCCTTAGCGGTAAAACACTTGGTTAAGCTCTTAATATTGCATAATTAATATGCCGGAGGCCAGGATATCCACATGGCATATCAGAAAGATTAGTCGCTTATTATAGAGCAGGAAGATGACCTAGTTAACTATATTATCGAACGAGAGCGCGCTTTTCAGCCTCTTATAAAGAAGGATATCCATAACTTCATATAGGCGTTATTATCAGTCAACAGGCAAGTCTATTATATCAGCAAGAACTAGGTTAATAGATTCTTTACCTGCCATTTAAGTATAGAATTAAAGCCATTGCAAGTCATAGAATCCGCAAGGAAGCGTTATATAATGAAGGAGTCACTTTCTAAGTACTATGATAGTCTTAACTAGGTAGTCAACACGAAGAAGATAACTAGGCCTTATATATATAATGTTAATGAGACTGGCGTTTAAATCGGTAAGACTAATGGTAGTATAGTAGCCGGAATGGCGATGACTTCTTCCTCAGAGAGGATAAAGTCTGATAATATGACTTAGAGCTCGATAATCAAGTCTGTATCAGCAGACGGTTAGCATCTTACGCCTTATGTTGTTTTTACCGGCGAGAACCTCTAAGGATAGTAGTTTCTAGCCGTTTTTCCTAATTAGAAGTATACTTATAGTCTAACCGGTTGGTCTAATAGCGACATCTTTATCTGTTAGTTCATGGGGGTATTCGTACTGCAGACTAAGCCGAAGGATCCTAATTAATGGAGACTATTAGTCCTAGACTAGCATAAGTTATATATTACAGCAGAATTGATGAAAAAGGCATGGCTGCATAAGATTTGGCTCTCTTGGTTACCCTCATACTCATCACATATCACTTAGCTGCTTGATGTTGCCGTATTTAGGCCGTTGAAAACGTACTATTGCCAGTTTACCTGCTCTTGGGCCTTATATGAAGCAACCTCGCCACACCAATAATGACTCTTCCTAAAAGCTTATAAGAGGGCTTTATTAAAAGCCCTAAGCCATAGGAACATAATAAGTGGTTTCTCGGCCTCTGGGCTTTTCCTGATTAATTTATAGAAGGCGTTAGCGGCGTTAAAGCCAAGGGAGAAGAAATGCAAGCGCTTTAACAGGCCTATAACACTAAGGAAGGCCTAAGTAATCGCTAATACGATCTAGAGTATGCCCTAAGGAAGTGCCGATATTTAAAAATAACTAGAAGCCGTGCAAAGTTAAGGAAATACCTTTATTTACAACTTTAATTATATTATAAAGAAGGTAATAAAATGTATTAACTAGAAGAACAGTTAAATTCAACGCCTAGAGGAGGAAAAAGCAGTACTAAAGGCGTCAGTAGCAGCAAGAGAGCCCACTGGCCGAGTCGCCGTTTAATTTAACCCTAATAAGGCTTTCCTTAAGATTAAACAGATTATCTCGGCTCGTGATCAGGCTGAAAAGAACATACTACATCAGATCGAGGGAAATAAGAGAAAATAATATAAAAAGAATCCGCCAAAAACACAGACTGCAGATATAATATTCATAAATCAGTTTCTAAACTCTCAGTTAAATTAAATAAATACTCATTATTATAGAATTAATTGAAGTTATCTACGGATTCGGTTGTGATGCTATTACGGGTGTGCGGGGACGGGGGGTGTGTGGGGTGGCGGTGAGTTAGTCTAGAGGTTAAGCACAGGGCAAAAGTTAACTTCTATTCAATCCCAACATTCTGTTACTAAGGGCCATAATCAAAGTGAATTCAAGGGTTAGCACTACCGCATGGGTGTCTGTTTTTGGGTTTCTTGCTAAGGTAGCCGGACGAGGTATAGGTAGTCATTTTCACATTGCTGGTCATCCACTTAGTATGTAAAATAATGTAATCAAGAAAGGAAGCAATTGGTACAAGTCACTCGGGGATGATGTTAGTGAGGTCATATATGCGTAACGTCCAAATTCATCATGGCATCATATGGCAGTCCATTGGACGCCTCCGCACGCTATGCCACCTATAAGTCTTCTCCCCGCAGCAGCTTCAGATGACCTTGAAATGAAGGCATTGATAGCCATTTCAACCGGCCCAAAATAATTCAACATGCTGGCTCGAACCATCATCTGGCGTGCTGGACGCGGGGCGCTCTATCAGGTGCATCGAAGAGCGTATGCCTCGACCGCACTGACTCCGGAGCAGATCAAAGTCGTCCAATCGACCATCCCCGCACTGGAAAAACACGGCGTTGAAATTACATCGCTCTTCTATCGCCAATTGCTCAATAAACACCCTGAGCTCAAGAACATCTTTAACACAGCCCACCAAGATACAGGCGAGCAGCCAGCCGCCCTCGCGCACGCCGTGTGGGCATATGCCGTCAATATTGAGAACCCTGAAGCGATGAAGGCATCCATTTCCCGCATTGGACATAAACATGCGAGCTTGGGAGTTACTGCGGAGCAATATACCATCGTCGGCCAAGGTTTACTCTCGGCGATCAAGCAAATCCTCGGGGACGCAGTTAATTCAAAGGTCTTGGATGCTTGGGACGCTGCATACCGCCAGCTCGCTGAGTATTTCATTAATTTTGAGGAAGGATTGTATCAAGAGGCCATGGCGACCCCCGGCGGCTGGAAAGGATGGCGCAAATTCTTCATCTCTGACAAAGTGAGAGAGAGCGAGGAAATTATCTCATTCCATCTCACGCCAGTCGACAAGGGAGCTTTGCCATCCTACAAGCCTGGCCAGTTTGTCAGCATCCGATGCTTTGTGCCTGAGCTTGGGACATACCAGCCCCGGCAATATAGTCTTTCTGACGTGCCAAATGGAAAGTATTTTCAAATTTCCGTTAAAAGAGAATTCGCATCGGATACAAAACCGGCCGGCCGAATATCCAATGTTCTTCACGAGCTGCTGCCGGAGGGGTCGGAGGTGGACATCAGCATGCCATTTGGTGATTTCGTCTTGGACATCAACACTAAAACGCCCGTTGTGTTTATTAGCGGAGGAGTTGGACTGACACCTATGATGGCAATGCTGAAGAAGATAACGGAGGAAGGTAAACCGAGGAAAGTGGTATTCATCCATGCTGCACGCAACTCACGCGTCCATGCTATGAAAGACATCCTCATCGAGATTGTGAGAGACCATCCGGAAGTCACCCGCCTTGTTTACTATGAGCGGGTTGAAGAAGACGATATACTGGGGCTTGATTACGATCACGAGGGGCGCGTGGACCTCGCAGAGGTTAAGCATAAGGTGATTCTGCCAGAAGCGAATTACTACATCTGCGGGCCACCGCCGTTTATGAATTCTCAGAGCAAGGCACTTCGAGATCTAGGTGTTGATGAGAAACACATTCACATGGAGGTATTTGGGTCGCCAACTTCCTGATACTATATGGAAGTTTCCCCTTGTCTACAACAGCTTAAATTTCAACGTAACCCAGCAATTCCAACTATTCCCTGGCCAGGTTATCGCGACATTGCCAAGCCTGGCTCTCACACTCCTGAGTCCACGACTTCTTGCGCTATGGCAGATTGTTCCGTCGGTTACAAGTACCCAAACCCCAACACTGTTGTCTTTGTCATAACCTTGGCAGTATAAAGTCAGAATTAGTGTCTCTCATTGTTTTTCTACTACTTGAGCGATCATGGTTCATGTGACCTTATCAGATAGCAGGAATGTTTACATTGAAATAAATAATTAGGAAGGCTTAACCTATGTTAGTATAAGAAAAAAGCTTTTAGCTACGTTTATCATTCCTCTCTACGGAAGCAAACATAGTCTTAAACCGTGGAAAGATAATACGATCTTTATTATCTTGTACGACGTGGGGCTATCTTCATCTCCTATAGCTTGATCGTTCTATTCCATGGTCTCCCTCGACCCCATCCATTTCTAATCAACCAGTTTTTATCCTCTTGCTCCTTCCACTCCTTCCTACGTTCTTGAAAAGTTTACTTTCCCTCCGCATTTGGCAGGTCCATCAATGTAGTCCCTCCAAGCTCCACCAGTTTCGCCAAAATATCCTCTTGCGCTTCTGTTTTTTCCGCTGCCATTCTGGTGATGTCCTTTACTCGACAGAAACTACCACCAGTAGCTCTGTAAAAGGGCGTTTCGAGTTTCGAATTCCTCATAGCAGGATTGGCGCCCTGCCGGAGCAGAAGTGAGATAGCATATACTTGATTCAGGTTAGAAGAGGCAAGATGCAAGGGTGTGTTGCCATTATCATTTTTATCTGTGACCTTTGCGCCGTAGGCTAGTAGAATAGCTATAGCATCTGTGTCAAAGGGCTTATAATTACTGCCGCAGAAGAAGAAGGTATGTAGAGGCGTTTCGCTCTTGTTGTTGCGTATGCTTACATCTGCGCCCCTGTTGCATAGTAATTTAAGGATAGTTGTATACTGCTTGCTCCTTTGACCATGATTTTGGGCGGCATAATATAAAGGCGTGTTTCCCTCATTATCCTGGACGTTAATTGTCGTAGGATCGATATCCAAGAGAAAATCAATAACCCTTGTCGCGTTTTGGACCCTATCTTGAAGGCTCATTTGAAAATGCAATCGATTTCGAGCAGCCCAGTGGAGAGGAAGGCTTCCTCGGCCATCGCCAGGCCGTATCATATCTACAGCAACAATTTCGTCACCTCGACAATCAAGCAGAATCTCGATAGCGTTAAAATTTCTGTAAACGCACACAATGAAGATTGCAGTAACATTGTCAATATAACCATATTGGCTATGAAATCCCAAGTCGTCTTGCCAATCCAGGGTCTGCCCATTTCACAGCCAATCTCTTCAGCCACCGGCAAGTCGCCATCAGAAGCACATGCACCTCAATCAAGGAGCAAGTTCATGATAGCCTCCTTTCTGTCAACCCAGTCTTTAGAATAGAAGGGCTAATAGCGCGTCATTGCCGACGACTCCATATCTGGGGTCTATGCCATTGCGGATCATGATAATCCTCATTTGAATCAGGCCATTAAATTCCCAATCTGCAAGCTTTCCAGTAGCCTGCGCAAGTGGCGTCGTCTAGGCGCACAGGACCTGTGTGCTCGGGGCACAGACCCCCCTGTCAGCAGGCTAGGGGCACAGCCCCCTGACTAAGCATTCATCATTTATGGGTGGCCAATACAGAGGCGCCCTCCTTTCAATATTTGCGCGCCTGGGGGTACATAAGTTGCTCTCCAACTAAGCCCAAATACCCTTATCCAAACTATAAAAACGAGTGGTTTAAGTATATATAAATAAGAACAAGCTACTAGGGAAGCATGCATATTCTTTACTAGTATATTATATCTCATTTTTATGAGTTTTTGGCAAGGAGTTCTGTGTCTACACTTGTACTGCAGAGGGCGCGCCCGCCCGCTGATGTCAGCAAACTCAAACGAAAAAGGTGTACAGAAGCAGAAACAAAACTTCTAGCACCCAGGGCAATAGATTGATACTTACGAAACTAGCAAAAATATTAAAAAACCAATGCAAAATTCACTTATTATTTAGATGGTACTGATTCCCCCGTTTTTGTGGTCTGGTTGATGGTATTTGGGCTTAGTTGGAGAGCAACTTATGTACCCCCAGGCGCGCAAATATTGAAAGGAGGGCGCCTCTGTATTGGCCACCCATAAATGATGAATGCTTAGTCAGGGGGCTGTGCCCCTAGCCTGCTGACAGGGGGGTCTGTGCCCCGAGCACACAGGTCCTGTGCGCCTAGACGACGCCTGCGCAAGTGGTTTGATAAGATAAGCAACTCTGCTTACGTGATGCTGAAGAGGGGTTCATTGACTGTTGTGCAGACGCAAATGCAACTCTACCCCCTGGTCAGTGGCTTTTCAAAGGGTCTGGATCTCGGCTTTTCGGTACCTGCTTGGCTTTATAGCTCTTTTAGATGAAGATCTAGTTATTCTGTCCGATCGATGCTCTTAATTTGTGGAAGAAGTAGCGAGCGAGATACGAGAAACAAGCTCTCTGCCAAGTTCATGACAGGCAAAAACCTCGACCGAGGTAGAGGGTTATTATGACTACTCGGGTAGGGTCTAGAGACCGACCCCCCGTGCTTTCCTTTCCACCGTAGGTGCCCGTGCGTCAAGCACGGGGGGTAGGCTGACTAGGGAAAGGGGCGGGTGACTGGGGAATAAATTAGATACCTCATTTTTGTATGTAGCCCCACCAAAAAAATAAGTCACTCCTTTAGTTGAATTGTCCCTCTTTACTGCACTGATGATGCCCGCGATATGTCATTACCCCTCACAAACATCGCAACGAAATCACCACTCAACGTCCTCAACACCAACAAGGTAATTACTTTATTCAGTCATGATAATTGCAATTTCTATTCAATTGAGACGATGGATACATCAATCAAAAGCCCTGAACCGGCTCTTACTGCAGTACAAAAATATATCAATTCTGACACCGGAAACCCTAATGTCTTGCGATATACAGCTCATAACCTTGAGACGCGTACTGTCGCGGCTGTCGAGCTTCTAAGGGAAGGATATTACTCCTCAGCTGTTAAAGCTGCTAAGGCATGGAGGGTACCATATAAAAGGTTGCTTTCTCGACAAAAAGGAAAACATCCTGTCTCTCAAAATGGCGGCAACTTCACGCTTTTTTCGCCGGAAGAAGAGAAGGCGATCCTCGCTTGGTGCTGGCGCCGCGTCACTCAGGGACATCATATACAGATGCGTACTCTTCGACAGTATGCTAATTCAATTCTAAAAGCAACTGACCGACTTCCAACGGCTTCTAGATACTGGGCAAGACGTTTTCTAAGAAGATATTCCTCTATTCTTCATAGAAAGAAGAGTTCAACCATCGCAGTGCAAAGAAAGGCGATGGCAGACCGAGCCAACGTCGAAGAGTGGTTTCGCAAGTGGCATGATTACGCGGAAAAAGGCATAGATTACGAGGATGTGTGGAACATCGATGAGACAGGCTTCCAGATCGGTTATCTTAAAAATGGGATGTTCCTGTGGACTTTTGGGGAAATCGACAAGCCTATCTTGACTGATGCACACGAGACAATAAGCGTCACGATCATTGAGTCTATATCAGCAAAAGGACGGGTTATTCCATCGTTTATCATCATGCCGGGCGTACAGCTGCCGTCTCGGTGGGTTGACAACCGCCTTGAACCGGGCACAACGATCGTTACAACACCAAACGGCTATATCGATGATATCTCCGCGCTAGAATTCTTCGACCACTTTGAACGGCTTTCCCGGACTTCTTTGAGTCCGGGAAAAAGAACACTATTACTAGACGGTTGTGAGAATCATTTTACCAAAGAGCTTTTCCAAAAAGCCCAAGATGCAGGCGTGGTGTTGTTCCCTTTCCCGCCTCACTTGACACATATCCTTCAACCGCTAGATGTAGGGCTATTCTGTGTATACAAGCATTGGCATCAGGAAATCCTTCTTCGTGAGATTGCAGATGGCGCTACAGACTTCAATAAAGCTGACTTTTTGTTCCATTTACAGGAGGTACGCGCCCGTACTACTAAGAGAAGCACTATCATCTCATCTTGGCAAAAGACCGGCATCTATCCCTTCGATCCTGAGGTTGTACTAGCCCGTATGATAAATCCCTTATCATCACTATCTTTGGAGGTAGCTGAAGAGTCGTTACCCGGCTATATCTCACGAGGGTCCTCTTCCACCCACAGCAGCGATAGCAACTCCGAAATGAGTGAGGAAGACGGCGTTACGCCGCCTCATGAGATACACCATTCGAATCGTCACGACCAGGAGATTCGATTGATGTCAACGCCACCCCCGTGCGTCAACTGGATCGAAATGAACACGCCGGAGCTCAAGTTACGGCAGATCCGTCAGTACGAGGAATATGTGGCCCTCAGGATCGAATGCTCAATAACCTCGGGCACGCCTCTGACTCCCTCAGTGTCACATGTCAATGAGAAGCTGCAGAAAGCACATACAACTCTCGCAGTCAATGGGATTACTGCGACTCAGGAAATGCGCCGTCTCAAGGAGAAGAACCTTAGAAGGTCTGCCCGGGATCAGGGGACCACCATACTGGCAAATTACGGGCCAATTACTATATATGATGCCAGACTTCGCGTCGCAAAGGATCAGCACAACCGGCTGGCCGGTCAGGCGGCCGAGGAAGCTCGTATGCACACTAAAGAAGTTAGGGTTGAAGTCGGGTATTTACGACGATGGATTGCAGCGGTCAGGAAGATGCTCAGGGCTTCTTTAAAGGATCTACGGGTTGCTGATCTATACAGCAGCCAGCCGACTTATTCTCAGAAAAGGAAGCTATTCACAGCGGCCGAATTTTATATAAAAAAACAACACCAAGATTGTATACGGTCGACGGCGGTGATAGGGTCAAGATACCGGCTTCACCGCGAGCTTCTGGCTAAAAGCAAAGATTCCAAGGTGAAAGCGACTAATGCAAAGAAATCAGAAAGTCGGGAAGCCCCTAGAGTATTTATCTTTCACTGGAATCCCCAATTCCTTCTTCCATTTGACTATGACTTCAATATCGTGAAGGAGGCGTTGGAATTTATTGTCAGTGACGAGGAAAAACGCCGCTCTAATCGGAAGAAGATGTCGTTGGAAGCTGACGGCTTAGAAATCGTTGAAGATGATGAGGAAATGGATGAAGATGATGAATATGATGATGATAATGAAGAAATAGTCATTGGGGATACTATTGAAGTCAGTTAGGGCGAGTTCGTTATCCCAAAGGATGAAGAAAATACCGAATAGTCGTGATGGTTGCTTGGTGTTTTGGCAATATGCATTTTTGGTGGGGGTTGCAAATGGAGGGGTTGGTCCGGTCACAATCATGTAGTTATCCGTGGCAAAGGAAGTACATCTAATTTGGTGGGGCGCACATATAAAAATGAGGTAGCTTAATTTCCCTAGTCAACCGACCCTTTTCCTAGTCACCGTACCCCCCGTGCCTGACCCTCAGGCTCCACGTGTGGAATGGGTTAGGCTAAGGGGGGCCGGTCTCAAGGCCCTACCCGAGTACCCTATCCAGGTTCTCTACTGGACAAGATTTAGGCTATCTCTAGTCAACTTCAACTCATGTTAAGCAAAGTAGATTATTAATTCATCATGCCTTGCATACATCAGTCTACTTTCTATAAGCTCTAGTAACTGAGGTCCAATAGAAGTTTGACAGAATGCCCAATTGTAAATGCTATCCTAGCCTTATCGCTCAATCAATCGTCACGCACATTACCAGTCCAAGAGATATAGCATTCTTGAAATGGCCGAGAAGACTTTACGGCGAAATGTCAGCAGCTCTCCCTGGGCGCTGATCGCCTTCGGGCAGCTACTTCTTGACGTTTCAGAAGATGTGGCTTCGTGTACAAAAACCACAATGGCCAACGTTCTGTTCTCGAACGCTACAGTGACAGGTTGTTACCTAAGGGTGTCGAATTCGGCATTACTCAAGGAGGATTTTCAATTATCATACCAAACCAGCTTTTCATTGCAGACTAAATAGTGACGCGGCTGACATGTGTTTCTTCAAATTTCTAGGCTGTCTACAACATCTCTCTGATCTTCCTTTATACCTTCTTTTTTATCCAAGATATACCTTCTTCACTCACTAAACTATAACTGATTCCTTGCAACTTCAGCATATGCCATACTAAACCTCGTGAAACGCATGTATATTGGTATGCGCGTTCCTTATAATGCACCTCATGGCATTATAGCTACTCTGTTTCTTAGTGAGCCTAGTGAAGCCTGAAAATGTATTAGAATTAAAGT